CTGTTACACACAGGCACTTCTACACACAGAAGCTATGTTACACAGACACTTTTACACACAGAAGCTTTTACACAGGGAAGCCTTTGCACAGAGCAGCTTTTACACACAGAAGTATTTACACAGAGAAGCCTTTTACAGACAGACGCTTTTACACAGAGCAGCTTTTACACACTGACGCTTTTACACGCAGAGCAGCTTTTACACACAGAGCAGCTTTTACGCAAAGACACTTTTACACACAGAAGTATTTACATAGAGAAGCCTTTGCACACAGACGCTTTTACACTTTTTTACACACTGCCGTATTTACACAGGGTCGCTCATTTACACACATAAGCTTTTACACAGGGCAGCTTTTGCACAGAAGCCTTTTACACGCAGAGCAACTTTTACACATAGACGCTTTTACACACAGAAGCCTTTACATATTTTCAAACCAATCTCAAATGATTTTGAAACCAATCGGGAACCAGCCTGAAACCAGCCCGAGACTAGTCTGAAACCAACCTGAAACCAGTCTGAAACCAGTTTGAAACAATTTGAAACAAGTTGAAACCGTCTGAAACCATTCAGAACCCAGTCTGAAACCAGCCTGAAACCAATTTGAAATCAATCTGAAACCAGTCTGAAACCAGTCGGAAAACAGTGTGAAAGCAGTCGGAAAACAGTGTGAAAGCGGTTTGAAACCAGTCTGAAAACATTCTGAAACCGGTCTGAAACCAGTCTGAAGCCAGTTTGAAACAGTCTGAAACCAGCCGAAACCAGCCGAAACCAGTCTGAAACCAGCCGGAAACAAGTCGGAAACCAGTCTGGAAACCAGTCCGGAAACCACTCTGAAACCAGTCTGAAACCAGTCTGACACCAGTCTGAAACCAGCCTGAACCAATTTGAAACCAGTCTGAAACCAACCTGAGTCCAATCCGAAACAAATCGAAAAGCAATCGGAAACCGGTCTGAAACTACAGTCAGAAACCAGTTTGAACCAGCCTGAAACCAAACTGAAACCAGTCTGAAGCAAGTCTGAAACCAGTCTGAAACCAGTCGGAAACTAGTCGGAAACCAGTCGGAAACCAGTCTGGAAACCAGTCTGGAAACCAGTCTGAAACCAGTCTGAAACCAGTCTGAAACCAGTCTGACACCAGTCTGAAACCCGTCTGAACCAGTCTGAAACGAATCTGAAACCAATCTGAGTCCAATACGAGACAAACCGGAAAGCAATCGGAAACCAGTCTGAAACTACAGCCTGAAACCAGTTTGAACCATTTTGAAACCAGACTGAAACAAGTCTGAAACCAGTCGGAAACCAATCGGAAACCAGTCGGAAACAAGTCCGAAACGTCAGAAACCAGTCTGAAAGCAGTCCGAAACCAGTCTGAAACCAGTCGGAAACCAGTCGGAAACCAGGCTGAAACCAGTCCGAAACCAGTCGGAAACAAGTCTGAAACCAGTCGGAAACCAGTCAGAAACCAATTTGAAACCAGTCTGAAACCAGTCTGAAACCAGTTTGACACCAGTCGGAAACAAGTCTGAAACCAGTCGGAAACCAATCTGAAACCAGTCTGAAACCATTTTGAAACCAATCTGCCAGAAAGTCACCAAGGGCCGCGCCTGCCACGCGAAACACGTTGCGTCCAGCGGCCAGAGCCGGCGTCCAGCGGCCAGAGCCGGCGTCCAGCGGCCAGAGCGTCCAGCGGCCAGAGCCTCTACAGACAGTCGGCAAGTATAGCCGCGGCGTCCGGCGGACATAGCCGGCGTCCAGCGGCCAAAGCTTCTACAGACAGTCGCCGAATGCCGCGCCTGCCACACGAAACAGCCGCAGTGTCCAGCGGCCAGAGCGTCCAGCGGCCATGAGCCTCTACAGACAGTCGGCAAGTAGCCGCGGCGTCCAGCGGACATAGCCGGCGTCCAGCGGCCAAAGCTTCTACAGACAGTCGCCGAATGCCGCGCCTGCCACACGAAACAGCCGCAGTGTCCAGCGGCCAGAGCCGGCGTCCAGCGGCCACAGCCTCTACAGACAGTCACCAACCTGCCGCCCGACACGGCCGTGGTGTCCAGCGGCCAGAGCCGGTGTCCAGCGGCCAGAGCCTCTACAGACAGTCACCAAGTGCCGCGCCTGCCACAAGTTGATAGAGACAAGTTGATAGAGACAAGTTGATGGAGACAGGTTGATAGAGACAAGTTGATAAAACAAGTTGATAGAGACAAGTAGAGAGAGAAGTTGATAAAGACAAGTTGATAGAGACAAGTGGAGAGAGACAAGTTGATAGAGACAAGTTGATAGAGACAAGTTGATAGAGACAACTTGATAGAGACAAGTGGATAGAGACAAGTTGACAGAGACAGTTTGATAGAGACAAGTTGATAGAGACGACGGCGGGAGGCGGACGGAGGCGGACGGAGGCGGACGGAGGCGGATGGCGGATGTCGAACAAAAAGTTAGAACCCCACATCGTGATGTGGGGAAAAAACAAAACGCATAACCCCGAAATGATTAATTCTTATGCCTTTTTACATTAACCAAAGATGGTTATGAAAGCTCACAAAGGGTACCCTCTTGAGTGTTATCCCCCCAAATCAAAAGTGCCCTCCCCAATTAATCAAGTCCACCTCAGCCCTGCGTGTTTTCTGTTTCGTTTTGTCCCTTTCCCTTCTTCTTTTCCTTTTAATTTGTCTTTGCATCAATGATATGAGGTTTATAATCCGGCGTAGTTTAGAAGATGCCTCCCAAAACCTTGTTCACCTGGTTGACCTTCTTGGGAGGGTAAAAATCACCGGAAGCCATTATGACTGATTCTGAGCATGTGGGCTGCATTGAACCTTGCCAGCGTCATCCACAAAGCCTTAGGCAAGCGTTTCAATCTTTCCAAAGTCTTGTGCCTCTCTGAAAACCACATCCAGCAGCCATCACAAAATGAACATCCATCGCATCTTTTGTGCGTGGCTGGATCCTCATTGAACAGGACTATGGAAGGGAACTGGCTTCATATGGCTTCATACGAGGACTTACCTCTGCCATCACGACAGATGCCAAATGCTCCCCTCGATCCTAAAGGCCGCACAGCCGAATTGGTTGCATAACTTTGACAAGTGCTTGAAGTTCTTGCACAAGGCGCTGAATATGTAACTTCCGACATAGATTAAGTGCATGTCGATGGTTCCTAACTACACCACCACATCTCTACTGTCGCTTGCATGGCCACCATTTTTATTCATGTTCTATCTTGTTTTATTGCTAAGCCTTTATTTCCTTGAAACTTAAAACATCTTAGTGATGAAATTCGCCTTACTTTCCACTAAACTACTAAACACCAGCTATGAGTTAAAACCCCGGTACTCTGCGGGCCTTGACGCCCAAATCTTGGATAGGCAAGGACTCCAGCGGGTCCAGTAGACGTCGCGCCTGGTGTGGTTTCGCGACAACGAGTGACTAGGCAAACTTGGGTTTATGGTAGATATATCATGATATATGTATGTGTATATATATATGTATACATATCTATATACCTATAGTAAGTAATGTTTCTTTCGTTGATGTTGCTCCTTGTTTTTTTGTTACTCTCTCTCTCTATGTAAATACATGTAATCAATAGGAACGGTGATATATGGTTATATATGATTTTTAAACGTTTTTAAACTTAGGCATACTATTCTAGAGGAGGCAACATATGTACATGCATATGGGGCTGTGGCCAAACCTGGGGCATGGACACAGAGAAGACGTACATCCGAACGTGTATTTTTATGATTTTATATGCCTATACACCTTTTATGTATTCACTAAACTTGGACTTCTGCTGGAAGATTTGGGCACGGATGTCATGTCACGCCAGTTTGAACATCTAGGGATTGATTGAACCATGAGCCTTGCCTCAAGTCCGCTAGCGAAAAAAACATTGGGCTTTGCTGGATGGGTTTGTTTCAAAAGTAGCCCTAGATTTGTTTGATCATGAAATTGCCTACTGAAATTGCAATGAATTAGAGCGCTCGGATAGGCCCAGTTTGCGGCCCTCACAAAAAAACATGTTCCGAATTCCGTACGTACCAAACTTGGGCACCCCAACATTCCTTCCCCAAAAATGATCGTTCCCCAGCATCCCATCCCTTACACTGATTACATTGAGCAGCTCATCCCCAGGAACCAATTTATACCTGGGATACATCATCCCAAGAGGATGGAATGTCATATGTTTTTGAAACCCAGGCTCTCTGTTCACAGAACCACCATCTTCCCAAAATCTTACATCCCATCGTGGTGGTCAGCACCATGGTCAACACATGTCAACACTCTTTTTACCAGCGCCATGTCGCCAGCTTGTTCCGGGCTGCTGCGTTTGCAGCGACCAATCCTACCATTGCCGCACCACTCTGCTGGAGTTCAGCGATTTTTTGGTGCGATGACTCGCGATGACCCATGCATTGGTGCATGAAAGCACCTTTTTTTTGGTGAGAAATCAGCAAAACATGGCAACACCATTAGGGACAAAATCATTTAGGGAGTTATTCAACTTATGGAACCAGCGGCCATTGCTTCATGGGAGTACATCAACAGTATTCGCCCAGGCCCATATCGAATCATCGAACAGTTGCGGGTAGCACCCTATCATTTTTGCTTGCATGTTTCGATATTTGACATACATATGCAGTATTATTTGCACATATTTCGACTACATGTGTATATGTATACATAATCCGTACAGTATATGTACACGTATTTTTGTAAGACATTAAAAAGTAATGACCATCTTTGGTTACTCTGTGGATCAGTCTGTCTGTGCACTGCTGGATCCCTGCGGGGGTGCCCAAACTGGAGGTGCCAATCCAGCAAGAAATGACGGTAAATCTTGAGGAGTGACTATACATATATGTATACTACTGTAAATATATATATACACATACACTATCTATCCATCTATCTAATCTAGTCTAATCTAAGCTAACCTCATCTAACCTAACCTAACCTAATCTAATCTAATCTATATAATCAAATCTAATCTATGTAGCGATACATAGATTCATAGTTATCTATCAGAGCTACAGTGGGTTTAGCCTCAGCAGTTTGTAAAACGCCACTTTCTTAGTGTCACAATGACACTTGATCCAAGCGCGCCAGATCGCGGCCGAGGTATCCTACAGCCAACGGCGCTGCGCGCCGGAGATTTGAAAGAGGAATGGGAATGTCATGGGAAGCCAGCTGGAAGCCAGCTGGAAGCCATGTGATATTCCATGATACCCACATCATTTTCGAATTATCCAACATGATTACCTATACATAGTAACTATAGCATGACATAAACAATGGCAATATTCATGGGTGACAACCAAGAATGGGTGTCTTTTTTGTACCTCTTAAATATGGCAACGTCAGCTAAAAGTACATAGGGAAGCGATGCCCACCATGGACGTATATACCAGAGCCAAAATATTCTGGCTCACCGAAGGCATTATACTCGGAATGGGAATTCCCCCCAGCTGTTCGATTCAAACATCATGTTGATCAAAAAAAACCAAAGTCTGAACAGTACCAACAAGGCTGGATAGCCAGTTGTAAGCTGTACATATTTCCCAACAAGTATATGAAGAAAATGAGATGGGGCATGGCTCAAATTAATTTGCACACCCCAAACTGGAATGGTTTCTGCGATATATATATATAAACATGGCCAATTGCTTTTTTGTCTTTTGGTACTTACCAAGTTTTGGAGCCATAACCGGTCGGTCATTTGCGGCCGAACCGAGAATTCGCTGACACAAAACCAAAGGACACAGCCAGCCATCCCTTGAGCAGCCAGCCATTTACAAATACCATCTGGTATTTAACATAGCCATGGAAAGATCCACAATTTTTAGTAGGTAAACCATCTATAAATGGGCCATTTGCCATGGCTATGTTAAATAACCAGAGGGTAGATGAATCATATGCTGTGCACATAAGCTTTACCCCCTCAAAATCTCAAACAATTGACATGGCACGTAGCACATTTCTCAACTGCCAGCAAGGATCCAAGCTTCTCGTTCAAGATCCTTAGCTGACACTTCAGTTTTTCACCTTGGGAATCACAAAATTTTATCATCCCCAATTTGCACATCCTGCCGTCAAGTATCACCAAGCTGGTTTGAAATCGACCAGAGTCTACGTACGTCAAATTCATCTTCTCCTTTTATAACAAGACACGTATGTCAAATAGATTCAAATAGTATATACAATCCTGATAATGAAGCCTTCAAATAGTGATTGACCCGTGGTCATTCAACCCATCCCAAACATCGCTGGGATTAGCCACAACCAAATATGTTGAACAATTGAAACCACTATGTTTTTATAGGTTTTTTATTTCGCTCCAACCTCAACAATGGTGAAAAAAACCAGGGCATGTTGCGTTTGCGAAAAATCTGGGTGCACCAGGTGACCTCGGTCAACATGGGGAAATTGTGGAACCATCAATGGAACATGTTTTTTTGGCGTTTTCTATGCTCAAACGGTACCTCAACAGTCGACCAGTTTCTGCAGCACTGCAATTCACCAGATCTTTGAACAGATAGCCGCTACGAACCACAGCTGTGACCCCAAAAAGGTGTAGACCATACAGGGATTACCCCAGGTAAACCTACTTGTTGCGGGGCAACTTCCAACAGAATTATATTCGGGAATTTGGCTGCACTGGCTCTTACTGAGATTGGTATTGAATCTCGGTATTTTTGCACTTCACATCTTTCTACAGGATAATCCCGAACATTGACTAATAGAGTTCCCATGTTGAACAACTACAACAACTAAATCGATCGGTGAGTTGCCGCTGACAGCTTTCAGAGACCACTGAGATCATGATGCTGAAGTTCCTGTGAAGTTTTTCACCATCACCAGTCTTGAAAATCATTCTGTGTATATATGTATATATAGTATATATATATAAGTACATATAATATATATATATAGAGATATATTCTGTAACTAAATATACATTGACAACAAACAATGTGTTTATGAGTGTATATAATTACATGCACATAAACTGTACATAAGTGGCCACGGGTTTTCTCCTGTCAAAAACCAAGGCATCGTGGCTCTATTTATCACCCCCTTCGCACATTCGAAGGCTCTGCAGCTGTTCGCGGATCTTCAGGTTGTGCCGAATCACGGCGAAGACGTCCATGGACCGTGCGGGGCCGCGCAAGGACATGCAGCGCTTGGTGAACTCGTCGACGTCGATGACCTTGGGGACCAAAACGTTGTAAAAAGTGGAGATCTCGTGAATCTGGTGAGATGAAATTGTGGAATCAACAAGAAATCCTCCAAACCTTGGGGATATTGAAGGATTTTCATGGGATATTACCTAGGATCGTATGTGTGTAATATATGATGTAGTTATATTTAATCAATATAATAAAATTTGTGGCTTTGTCCAGGAATGGGGGATGGCCCGCAATTTCTGGACATCATGGGGAAAACGATGATAAAGCACCGGATCTTGACGCTGTTCTGAAACCCAGCTGGGATAATGGGGCAGAAGTGAGATCACTACCACCGCCCGAAAACCAACTTCACCCAACCGAAGAGTTACGTAGTCTTGATGGTCAACTTTCAGTATTTTCAGTATTCGGTATTGAGATAGAACTTGGATATAATAATCGAAATACAGGAATGCAAGCAACTAAAAGGAGAAGGTAACAAACAATAGAAGAGGTATCTGCCAAAAGCCCAAAGAAGGCATGTAGATTGAGAAAAACAACGTGTACTTGGAGTGAAGTTCCAGTTAAACGTGAATGCGTTGCACAATATTATGCATATATATATATAACATAGCCATACATAGCCATAGTTGGATCATGTTATATCTCAATCTATGGGGTAACTAGAAGTAATTAACATATCTTTCTAATGAAAATACCATCGCACACAGCTACGAATGAAGGTGGAATCGAACTCTCATTCGGCTGGTTCCACTCTTGGCTCCATGGCCCGGACATGGAAATAATAATGCGACCAGATACTCGATACCCCTTTCTTGAAGGATCATTGAACGGCAAATAGAAACGTCAAATCATGAGTCATCATGAGAGCATTCACTACTCATGTAACACTATTCATGCTGTTTACTCTTCATTATTAATTAAGGTCTAAGACTTGGAAAACCACCCAAATTTGGTATGGTGCCAGATGATAGACAGCTCATTTAAGGAAGCTTCGGTCCGCATCATCTGACATTGTCCTAGTCGCAGAGGTGCATCCGAAAAACAAAAACCACAATCTGGGGGACTGGTGAACGCCCAAAAAAACCACAGTCACGAGATCAAACCAGAAACAAACATATTGTGAAACAACAACCTGACACCCTATGGCTCAAAATCATGATCACTTTCAAACATCACCCAAAGTCATTCATTTCAGCTCCTGAAATGTCTTTGTCCGAAACTTGTACAGCCTTTGTAATGCAAACATGATCATCACCCTTCACATGGGGGTATAGCAACGACAGAAAACCCAAAAAAACTTAAACTTAAATTCACCATTGTTTCACCATTGACAATTTACGTATCTCCAAGAAAACACATGTATAATTCTAACTGCAGTATACTTCATTACATACTTAATTATACTATCTATATCCCTACCCCTTAGACCAGGGGGGCAGAAAATTGTAATATTACTTTTTTCGAGGGTTAGGGGGGGTGAAAAATGTAATATTACAATATTCGATTTTGAGGGAAAATGTAATATGGAAATTAAAAAATGTAAGTTATGAAAGTTCAGGCTGACAAACATATGCATTTTGCAGGCACATCCAGTGCAGAGGCTTTTCAACTTTACATTTATATTGCCCGAAAACCTGAAAACCTAATCATATAGCGGTATAAAGTGTCATAGGCTATGACTCATAGCCTATAACAAAAAAGATACGATATGATACAATGACATACCATAAACTATCTAAACCATATCTTAAACATACCAACAAAATATCTACAACATATCTATATAAATCATATCTCTAGAACACATTCAACATACAATTTTACATTTATTTTGCCTGAAAACCTCAAAGCATAATCATATAGCGGTATAAAGTGTCACAACATATCTAAAGATACCATATGACACCATGAAATACCATAAACTATCTAAACCATATCTTAAACATATCCACAAAATAATCCCTTCCCCCTATTACCAAACCCACCCAAATAATAAAAACCAGGGTCCATCTCCAATTTTGGAAAGTTTCAGATTGGCCAATTTGACTTTTGATTCATCCCCTTTAGAAAACAATTTAAAAAAATATAGCTACCATTTGTGGGTTTCGCCCCTTAATAATAAAAACTAGTCAACCCCGGGGTGTTTATTATTAGGGTCCGTCCGGAAACTTTTAGTTTTTTACATTAGGGTGTTTAATTATTATTAGGGCCCGCTTCGAAAACCGATTTTTGGCAATATTTTAATTGTGTTATAAAAGGAAATTGAAATGATGCTGAAATCGGAATAAAAGTTATTTTTTTTTTAAAAATTGAGGTTTTAAATTTATTAATAGGGTCCGCTTCGAAATCCAGTTTTTGGCAATATTTTAATTGCGTTACATAAGGAAATTGAATAGATTTTGAAATCGGAAAAATAGTTTATATGATTAGTGTTTGAAATTTATTAAAAGGGTTCCCTAATAAGTTATGTCACAGCACGGCATATTTTGCAAAGCATCTTTCTGCTTGCCTAGGCTGACGCTGCACCTAGGCACGCATCTGCTGAGAACCACGTTGGGCACCTCAATGACTATAGATGACTGGGATGATATCCTGTGTCATTTATTGTCATGTTGAGATATTTTTCCTGCATATGTGCATATCATTGTGCACTTTGCCTGGAATTGCCATGAACTGCCTGGTGAATGGTGGTGTTTTCTGAAAAATGTAAGCTAGACTGCTTCAGGTGTTGTAAATGATGGTGTTTTGCAGAAGATCTCCGTGTCCGAACATTCAAGCTTACATTTTCTTATTACTTCTTATTCCATCTTATTCCCACATTATGTCATAGGGTGACATATTGCATCATACTGTGACATATCTTGCAAAGCATTTTTCTGCTTGCCTAGGCTGGCACTGCACCAGAAGGAGCATCTGCTGAGAACGACGTGGGGCACCTAGATCACTGTAGATGACTAAGATTGGCATGGGTTCACCAACATTGACAAATATTGACAAGGTCCTTTGATAGTTATATAGCTTCCTGAAGTTTCTGATGGTTTCCAGTGGTTTCTTGATGCTCCCTATCTAAGCGTGAAAGATGTAAGTTGATGCAAGATCATGCAAGAAAATGTAAGATCCAATGTTACATTATATTACCATATATGACCATTACCTATATGGTAAGCCGTTTGGGGGAGGGTGTTTGAGATAGTGGTGGGCTGCATGGATTCTGGCCCCCCTATTGCTTTCAGCTTACATTTTTGCGTCGCATAGCTGAGATCCCGTTTGGTCATTTCATGATATTTTATGTCATTTTTTTGGTGTATATTTGCGCATATTGTGCACTTTGCCTGGAGTTGCCTGGTGAATGGTGTGTTTTTTGAAAAATGTAAGCTAGATTGCTTTGGGGGTTGAAAATGATGGTGTTTCCGGATTTCCATGCCCACACAATCAAACTTACATCTTTATTACTACTTCTTATTCAATCTTATTCGCTCATTATGTCATAAGGTATCATAAGGAGACATATTGTATATCATTGTATCACAATGTGCCATATCTTGCAAAGCATTTTTCTGCTTGCCTAGGCTGGCACTGCACCTGGGGGAGCATCTGCTGTGAACGATGTGGGGCACCTAGATCACTATAGATTCTAGATGACTAGGATGATATTCTATGTTCATTTTTTGTGCATGTGATTGCATATGTGCGTATCATTGTGCACTTTGCCTGGAATTGCCGTGAATTGCCTGGTGAATGGTGGTGTTTTTTGAAAATGTAAGCTAGACTGCTTTAGGTGTTGAAAATGATGGTGTTTTGCAGGAGATCCCCATGTCCACACAGTCAAACTTACATTTTTATTACTACTTCTTACTCTTAGTCTATCTTACACCATCTGGTTCCCACATTATGTCATAAGGTGACATATTGTATGTTTTGTATCATAATGTGACACATCTTGCAAACCATTTTTCTGCCTGCCTAGGCTGGCACTGCACCAAGTTATGCAGCAAATCTCTGTTCAAGACAATTCAAGACACAGTTGCTATGAAAACATACCTTCAAGAATTTCCCCCACAAAATAGCTGACATTTATGTTCATACGTTTTCTATCATTTCCCGTGGTATTGAAATTTTGGAATTGAATGGTATTGATGTTGTTTATCATCTGTATGAGACACAACGGGGGAACGGCTCGAGGACTTCGACCCGGCAGGGACGGGGCAACACAACGGGATTACACACCGGGGTAAAACAACGGGGTAACACAACGGGTAACCAAACAGGGGGAAACAACGAGAAAATGAGAAATGTCACGTTTATAGTTGGTAAACAAGAAAAAGCTGCTTGTGCAACACATTGAAATTTCAATATTGTGCATATGTGCTCAATAATAGTTCGATATTTTCAAAACGGATCTCTATCCAAAAATTATGTCCACAATCAGTTTCAAAACATTCAGTTTTCATTTTCAAGGTATTGCAAAAACATCAAAAATGTGTTTGTCAAAATATGCCGAAAAAAGAGATTTATATCCATAAATTATGTCCGTAATCAGCTTAAAACATTCAGTTGTTCATTTTCAAAGTATTGCAATGATTTTTTGAAAAACATGCTTTCAACATATGTTTGTCAAAAACTTATTAAGATATGGTTTAGATCGTTTGTGGTATCATATGGTATCTTTTGATATGTTATGACACTTTTTTTTCTTTAACGCTGTATGATAGTGTTTTCAGGTTTCAGGCAATATAAATGTAAAGTTGAAAGTTGAAAAGCCTCTGCGCTGGATGCTCCTGCAAAATGCATATGTTTGTCAGCACGAACTTTCATAACTTACATTTTCTTTTCCCCCATGGCGCCTAAAGGTGGGTATATGTTGTGTAAATGATGGAAATCATAGTTTTCTTTCAACACGCTGTGTATTTGGAATGTATTTTGAGCATGGTTTAGATATGATTTAGGTATGATTTAGATATGTTTTTTGGTTATTTTGTGGATATGTTTAAGATATGGTTTAGATTTAGATAGTTTTTGGTATTTCATGGTATCATATGATACCTTTTGATATGTTATGGCTTTTTTTTATCGCCATATGATAGTGTTTTCAGGTTTCAGGCAATATCAATGTAAAGTTGAAAAGCCTCTGCGCTGGATGTCCCTGCAAAATGCATATGTTTGTCAGCGCGAACTTTCATAACTTACATTTTCTTTTCCCTAATGGCACCTAATGGTGGGTATATGTTGTGTAAATGGTGGAATTCATCGTTTTCTTTCAACACGCTGTGAATTTTGAATGTATTTTGAACATGATTTAGATATGACTTAGGTATGTTTTTTGGTATCTTGTGGATATGTTTAAGATATGGTTTAGATTTAGATAGTTTATGGTATTTCATGGTATCATATGATACCTTTTGATATGTTATGACACTTTTTTTTCTTTAACGCTGTATGATAGTGTTTTCAGGTTTCAGGCAATATAAATGTAAAGTTGAAAAGCCTCTGCGCTGGATGTCCCTGCAAAATGCATATTCTTGTTACAGTTTCTGTCCCCCATGGCGCCTAAAGGTGGGTATGTGTTGTGTAAGTGGTGGAAATCATAGTTTTCTGTCAGCACGCTGTATATTTCCCCACCTGCCAGGTGAGGGTTGTTAGATTTTATCAGAGCTGTTCTTCTCCTCCTCCTCGGCTAGCTCTTCTCCTCCTTCTCCTCCTCCGCCTCCAGTTTCTCCTCGACCATGTCTGCATCAACTTCCACCTCTACTTCCGCCTTGCCAACTCTTCGCCAAGCTCTTCGCCAACTTCCGAGCTCAGTGCGCACTGCTGGACCTCAACCTGGGACCTTCCGTGTGCACTGCTGGACCTCAACCTGGGACCTTCCCAGCTCAGTGTGCACCGCTGGACCTCAACCTGGGACCTTCCCAGCTCAGTGTGCACCGCTGGACCTCAACCTGGGACCTGCCCAGCTCAGTGTGCACCGCTGGACCTCAACCTGGGACCTCTCCAGCTCAGTGTGCACCGCTGGACCTCAACCTGGGACCTGCCCAGCTCAGTGTGCACCGCTGGACCTCAACGGCCAGATAGAATGCCAGAAGATATGCCCGATAGAATGTCAGATAGAATGCCAGAAGATATGCCAGATAGAATGCCAGAAGGTATGCCAGATAGAATGCCAGATAAAATGTCAGATAGAATGCCAGAAGGTATGCCAGATAAAGTGCCAGAATGTTTGCCAGATAGAATGCCAGAAGATTTGCCAGATGACATGCCAGAAGATACGCCAAATAGAATGCCAGATAGAATGCCAGAAGATATGCCAGAACATATGCCAGAAGATATGCCAGGTAGAATGCCAGAAGATATGCCAGATAGAATGCCAGAAGATATGTCAGATAGAACGCCAGATAGAATGTCAGATAGAATGCCAGAAGATATGCCAGATAAAATGCCAGAAGATATGCCAGATAGACTGCCACAAGATATGTCAGATAGAACGCCAGATAGAATGTCAGATAGAATGCCAGAAGATATGCCAGATAAAATGCCAGAAGATATGCCAGATAAAATGCCAGAAGATATGCCAGATAGACTGCCACAAGATATGCCAGATAGAATGCCAGAAGGTATGCCAGATAAAGTGCCAGAATGTTTGCCAGAAGATTTGCCAGGTAGAATGCCAGATAGAATGTCAGAAGATATGCCAGAAGATATGCCAGATAGAGTGCCAGAAGATATGCCAGAACATATTGCAGAAGATATGCCAGGTAGAATGCCAGAAGATATGCCAGAAGATATGCCAGATAGAATGCCAGAAGATATGCTAGATAAAATGCCAGAAGATGTGTCAGATAGAATGCCAGAAGATTTGCCAGCAACAAAACGTATAAATGTCATGGTGGGGATAACTCGAAGTAAAGTAATTGGAATGTATTTTGAATGTATTTTGAACATGATTTAGATATGATTTAGGTATGATTTAGATATGATGCAGGGGAGGTTCCCAAAAGCATGCAAAACACATGGGGGTTGTCCAAAATTATAGTACCCGAAAACACCCTTACGCCGCGCTTTCGCGAACCTTTCGCGCCCCAGCAGAATTGGGACATGAGATTATGATCAGGTTTTCGTTTACTTATAGGTTTATAAATAATGGTATTCAGACCTTTCGCGAACCTTACGCCACCCTTTCGCGGCCTTTCGCCACTGCAGCAAAACATACACATCCATATCTGCAGATGTCACTCGGATACTAAAAGCCTTGCATGGGTTTTAGGACGACTCCCACATGAAGACTGTGACCTTCTGGTATGCCTTTACCAAATCTAGCAAGCAAATGCAAAATTTGGGGGGGTGGCTAAAATGTAAGTTACCATGTCCCACATCGATTGTTACATTTTAATCGCCCCCCCTTTAATTTTTAGGGCCAAAAAAAATGTAACTTACAATTTCCCACCCCCCCCACTTATTGTAAGTTACAATTTTTCTGCCCCCCCAAAACCAAGGTGAAGGGGGTGGGGATCTATCTATCATATAACTAGATCTTTGTTTTCCTGGGTGGGGTACTAAACAAATTGTATACTACTCTATATTTTCCGCCGCCTGGCCCAACGTTGTCCAACGACTGCCACCGTGTGACGTTGCCGCCATCAACGTCCAAAGACGCGAAGAGTGTCCAGGCGTCCGAGGCGTTGATCTCGGCACTTTCCAGGAAGGCTTGCATCCCTGGCGATTGCCGGGAAATCCTGGGGACCTAAAATTGGGGAAATCGATGGGGTTCTGAGATGTTCTGAAATAGTAGCTACATATAGCATTTCATTGCATTTCATTGCATTTCATTGCATTTCTGATGTTCTGAGATGTTTGTGGGGTTGATGTTTTGGGGCTCTGTTTCATTGTATTTGCATTTGCATAAAACAACACAGTGCCATGTCCTGCAGAACATGGCAGCAGAACATGTCAGTTCTCCGCCTGTGGATCCTTGCCTGTAACAATCAGCAACAAATGCCGCAATTGAATCATGAAGTAGATATGATATGTATATATATATACACCATAAAAGTATGTGGCTGTCCTGCTAAGAAAAATCACTGTGGGAGAAGCGCATCGGCCATGTTGGTGCCTTCATTTTCAAACATCATCTCGAACTCTGCCAGCGTGATTTTTCCATCGCCACTTTGATCCATACCTTGATCCACTACGTTAACTTGGCCAATGGTCGGACAAACAGATTCGGCACATCTGCAAATTTGGCTGAACTCTTCCTATTCGTTTGATGTGCGGAACTGTCTGGAAAGCGATCCCTATTTCAGATCAGCAATGATCCGAAACATGATTTCAGGCCATCTTGGGACCACTATATCCTGGACAAACTGGTGGCCAGCAAACTGGTGGCCTGCAAAGTTAGCATTTACCCAGCTCAAAAATGGTGACTCAACAACTATCTGGATCTACTACAGTGGGTAGGCACCTGAACAAAAACTATTGAAGTGGCAAAAAAACAGCCGAACTTAGCAGCCTGACCAACTCATGTTTATGCAGCCAAAAGGCGTCGTCAAAAGAAAATCCCGTGCGTGCAACCAAGCCCAGAAAGACAGTCCCCCAAAAAATTGGAACAGTTGGTTCCTGTTTAAGTCTTGATTAGATCACTATCGTGCACTTGTGATGCAACCCGATGGCAACTGCCAAGCTGCGCTCAAAAATCCGACTGACCAATTTTCGAAATTCGTGTCGACTATCGAGACGGTTCTCGTGATCTTGCCTTGGATGTTTTCGGATGATGCATCTCAATTTGGAAAGCGACTTCAAATTCCTGCTCTGATCTGTAAGTACTTTCATAATGCTTGTTGGACCACCTTACTCACGAGTCATCCACAAGAATAACAGCCACTATCAAATGCATGTTGCAAAACTACATTGTCATCGAATGTTTTTGACGTTCCCCCCTGCAACACGGCCCCCCGTCTTACCTCCCTCTGTTTGCAATGACGTGGCCTTGATTTGTCTGGGAATGCCATATATATATATGTATATATATTTCCAATGATCAACGTCCACAATACCCTTGAAATTTAGAGCAACCCCCGAAAGGATGGACACGTAATTTATTGTCATTAATTTGCCACTAACTGAGGTTCCGATTTTATTTTTTGTCTCTTTGGGGTTTGACATTCTAGAAACCACATCCTCTGGTCAAATGTTGCAGTGAAATTTGCCACGCATTGAATTTGTTGCCCAGATGCTCAGCAGAGCGGATGGCTGAATGACAAAAGACACCTTCCACGCGTGGTGAAAACCCAAAATAACATGGGGAACCATCTGGGCCATTGGAACAACGGTGCTACAGAGAGATGTCCCAAGTTAACATTATTTTAAAATGCATATAAGAAGAATTATAAAACTCATGTCGAAACATGTTGAAACCCGCGCTGGTCTGTTGAAACGGAATGTGAAGTTGATGTGGTTGCAAGCGAAAACCCGCATCACACATCAACATATGTAAGCATGATATGGGTTCCAAACAATGAAACCGCTCCAATGGTCTCGATTGCAACTGCAAACCTGGTTGAGGCCCAAAAGGTTTGAATTCAAATTATTTGGCGCAACCCTCCAAAATTTCACGCTACGAAGAAAACAACGACTGTTTGCCAACAACTTTTGGCATGCTGACTATTTTTGCTACGGATGACAAGATTACGATTCAAACGTCTTCAGCCGGAAAAACATGGCACGATAGCAATTGAACTTGCAAAATCCATAAACTCCAAATTGCCAAGTGGCCGGTCATGACATTGAGGACAGCAAACATGCAGAATGCCTAGGTTGCGAAGAAAGAAGAAAAGAAAGACTTTGAAGCGTGCACCACCTCATAGTAGATGTTGCACAAAGAAGGACCTTAGTTACCGGGTTCCTTAGTATTCCAGATGCTGTCTTGGCACTTAGCCAACCAGCATCGAACCTTCAAGACCTCATTGGGGCAGGAAGTTTTTTGGGCCCTACCAAATCTAGCAAGAAAAGGACAAGACGGTTTAGGAGGGAAAGGACCAAGACGGTACGGACACTCCCAAGCGATGTGCTCCCAGAATCCAATGCCCCCGCACTCCCACGGGCAAGCAGAAGAACGAGACGACGAAGGAATGCGAGAGTAAGTTCCCGGACTGAACGTGGCACCCAATCCGACCGTGACAGCGACGGGACTGGACAAGATCCACGAACGAGTGTTCTTGATATCCAAAGAAGCAAAGAAGGAAAAGTTTGATCAGAGACAGGAAGGGACTGGACCTCATGCCTGCCACATTGAGAATATTTTTTCCAAACCCAAGCCCCCCAGCCTTCCCGAACATTGTGTTGAGCAAGACCGATAAGAGGCTCCAGCATTTTGGGACCGGGACGAACAGAAAGGTCGACTTCGACAGAGGCGACGGGATGGCGCCAGACCCAAGGACGGACGGACGTGAAATCGTGAGAACGGAACCAGGAACGCAGAGCGCCGGAACAAGTCCCACCATGATTAGACCAGGAAGGATCACAAGACCGAAAGCGAGCACGAAGGACCGCAGCCACCAAGCGAGTGACCCAGGCGACATCCAGGTGCAAGCCACCTCCCAAGAGAAGAGCACGCAGCCACGGACTGGAGTACCGGACACGGCGAGTTGAGACCCAAAAGGTAGCCCAGAGAGAGCTAGCGACAGTCCAGGTGGGACCACGAGCAACCCAACCATAGTTAGCTTTGGGGAGGGCAAACTGTTTGAGAAAACAAAGCTGAGTGGGAAGGAGGAATCCACAGCAACCCAACAAACGAGCAGTAGCCTTAGCAGCAGCAATTCGATCTTTTTCGATGCGGTGAAGTTGACGACGACCCGACCAAGAAACCGCCCCGAGGACCCGAACGGCAGGCGAAATCATAGTGGCATCGAATTTTTCATGGAGAGCAGCGAGACGGAAAGATCCGACACCAGACACCTCAGCCTTTTGAAGATTTTCCAGCAAACCGACAGAGTGACTCCAGCGAGACCACCCCTCTTTTAAGGTAAACAGATCTTGGACAGAGGAGGACGTGCAGGTCCGATCGTCAAGATAGATTTGCATAGAGGAAGGACCAGCTTCCAACCTAGACGAAGTAGACACCGACATGACTCCGCTTTGAACCCAAAGTGAGCAGATTATGGGACCTAACGGATCACCTTGAGGCAGGATACCGTGGGCTTTAAGAGGTTCACTATGAGTGTGATGATCATACTGAATGAATCGGTTTTGGCTGCCCCAAACCGCATTGAGGAGGCCAGTAATGTTGGGGGGCCAACCATACTTATCAAGAAGGGAGACAGACATGTCAGTACTGATAGTATCGAATGCCTTAGAATAATCCAACGTAAGAAGAAATCCTTGTTGATGGAAGTGGTCGAAAATGGAAATGATATTCTCGAAGATATCTTGGTTAGAAACAGCTCCAATAGAGGGATGAAGTGCAGTTTTCAACCACGCTTTGAGTCCTTTACTCTGGCATAGGGTAGAGACCCACAATCGCCACCAAACATTGAGCACAGTAATGGGGCGTGTGCCGTCCACAGGAACAGCATAATTCTTGACCTTGCCGGGTTTAGGAAGACAAACCATACGAGCCTGTTGAAGCTGAATTGGCACTTCCCCACTGCTGGCAAACTGAGTAAAAAGCTGAGAAAGCGATTCGAAAGTTTCGAGCGGGAGATGTTTAATTTCATCAGCTGACCAACCGTCAGGTCCAGCGGCACCAGAACCGCTTTGGGCCCGGGCTTGCAGTTCAATGCCCGTAGGGCACCGAATGTTCACAGGGGTCTCGGGGACCCGGGCTCCGGCCAACAGCGAGCTAGTGCGAGAGGCCAAGTCCGGGACAGAACGAGCATGGTCTTGCCAGAAATGGACCCAGAAGTCCTGAATTGCGGCAGCAGCCGCATGCCACGTCTGGGTGGGACGATTGTGTCTGTCAACAACCGACTGACAAAAAACCTGAGTCTTGCGTTTGATCCATTTAGACACATAACCCGAACCGGAACGCATGCGATGACGCCAGTTTGTCAAGTTATTCTGTCGGGAAGTTTCCTCACATTTTCTTAAGGTCTCATGGACATGAGCAATGTTTTGTTGGATGAGTTGACGGCTCGGAAGCTCAGCACGGCCAGTTAGTTTGTAGGACAGATTACGAAGTTCGATCCCATGTTGTTGAGACAAATCATCTTGAGTATAAAAACGAGAGCGGAGACGACTCAATTCATACCATTTAGCCAATTGATGACGCAATTTTCTTTCCTGCATGGAAGTGAAAATACCTTTTGCGGGCAGGGTCTCCATTTTCACTTGGGCAACCAAACCTTTGTGGCGAATCTGACCCGAAGATGGAAAGTTGCTTTGGGGAGCAAAAACAAAAGCCCCCCGCACCGCATTTTGGAACGTATCCCATTTGACTTGTACAGACTTGGAAGGATCATCCAAGGTTTCACGTAAAGAAAAATGAGTACTGGCACGAGTCCATCCGATTTCTAATCTTTCACGCCACTCGTCGAGGGGCACATTTTTGGGGACATCCGAGGTTGGGAATAACACCCCGTGTAGGTCTATACTCAGGGGTATCAACCTTGATGGACAAAATCTTATGATCGCCAACGACATAATCCGGAGAAGAGACAGCGGAAAGTGATTCAGGGCAATTGGAACAGAACCAGTCAATTTCCCTACGACCTTGGAACCTAGTAGGGGCTCCCAAAGTGGAAAGAGAAGCATTAAGAGAGCGAACCAACTCAGCAAACTGACTATCATTGGGGGTCTCGTTGAAGTCACCACCGATGAGCCATTTTGTGGAATCCAAGACACGGGCCTCAACAAAGGCTTGAATAAGACCATTTGTAGCCCCATGGGAACAGTGTTCATAAGGGGGAGCATAGATGGACCCAACAAAAAGACCATCAACCCAAACAAAAACCCCTTGAGAATCTTCTAGATCAAAGCGGGCCCCGAATCTTTGAGGGATCCCTTGTCGAACAAATACAGCGGAACCACCAGAGCTAGTGTTGATCCCTCGCTTGGAATGGGGTCCATTTTGGAAATATCCATTATATCCATGAGTTTTGGCCGTACGACAAAAAGCATGAGCGCTATTGTCAGTAAACCAAGTTTCTTGAAAGAGCCAAATATCGGGTTTGATTTCAGACCGCAAGGCACTCCAAGGGCTCCCTTGCGAATTAACACAGCAGACACGAAGCGGACCCGGATGCTTGGCCTCACCGATCCTAAGTCCCCTTTTGCCACCCTCTCTCCATTTGGCGGCCTGGGACTTAGGGGACTTCTTTTTGGAAGACTTGCGCGCATTGGCACGCTTAGTGACAACTTTACGAGCTTTCTTGCCACAACCAGAATATCCTTCTTTGAGGCGCTTAGCCTTCCATTTCTTGGAACTCCAGCTAGGATTCTCCATTTTCAGAACAGAACACATGTGTTCTTTGGTCAATCCGGAATTATCTAAGAAATTCTGCGCTGTCAATGGTTCGTTGGCAAGCCAACTGGTCCACCAAGCTCTTTTTCGTGAAAGAACGAAACCATTGGTTTGCATCTCTTCTTGCCTTTGTTGGCAAGTCATCTCAGCTTTATGGGCCGTGCTGCCACGAAGTCTGGAGAAACAGAACTTGCAATAGTAAATGTGACCCCTGTAGGTGACAGGATCATGCTGATGCTTTTCAACCGGGATAACCTTCACGATAGTGTGGGTCCCGCAAAGTTCTTGTCTCTCCTTTTCTCTACGCTTGGTTTGGTGCGCAGAGCAACCCTGATTGCGAGTACCAACCCGGTTTTTAAAACTGAGCGTTTTGGGGGTCTCTTTGGGGTGAAATTTAGAACAATGGGCTCGAATTGCCCTGTTTCGAGCCTGTGTAGGAAGTTCCGGGAGCCCGTGATTGCACAAAGGGCAGGACCAAGCTCTTTGGCTCTCAGGCAACAAAGGAGACGTCTCGATAGTGTCCGCCACCTCGTCTTTCCGAAAAGTTTCGAGCGGAATATGCGGGTGACGACTTTTGACATGAAGAGACTTGGCTTGCATAACACCACTATAAGTTCCTTTAATAATTAGACCACATTTATGAACCAGGCAATGCCATTGCCAAGGCATCTTCTGGCTAAAACGAGGTCCTTTTCTGGGGTCAGGCTGTTTACCCCAAATTCTCCATGTCAATGTCGAGGGTGGTCGACCCTTACGAAAAACAGGCGGTTCCCAAGGCGGCTCGTCAGCCCCAGAGGAAACCGCAGCACCAGGGTGATTAATTCGTCTGGGTCCATTCTTGCCCAACTGAGGAACGATGGTGTGGACACTGGGAGTACGTGAGCTACCACCGACTTTCGCAACAGCGATGCGCCTACATGTGCTGGCCAAAGCAACGGATTTCGTTGGGTTCCGAAGACTGCCGCTCTTACCAACATCTCTTTCTCGTTTGCCAGCACTCGCTGCAGTGTTTGGTCTGCAAAAATTCGAAACTGTGGCTTCAGTATTCGGGTTCGGATCAGGATCCCTACTGCCGCAAGCCAGAAGCTCTGATCTTTCAATAGGGGGAACTGAGACCGATTTACCGGTCGTGCGTCCTTGAACAGCAACTGTGCCCAGAGTTACAACACTAGGGGTCCTGCACCCTCCCATAGTAACGACCGAAGGAGTCTTTGAGGGACCACTTTGAGGGATAGTGTGAATAGAAGGAGTTTTGCAGCTAGTGACAGAGACAGCCCTGCCAATTCGATTTGAATCTTTTCTCGAAATCGCAACAGTTCTGACGGAAGGTGTGGTGGGGCTACTGGGTCCCAGGGACTTGGGGTTAACGATACGCTTACCCGCCCCGCTTAAGTCCACCACAACATTGGGGGTTTCACGCAACCAATTTGTGGGGCAGCGCCCATCCCATGGTGGTTTCAAAACCTGATAATGTTTATCTTTGAGAACCAGAGTGATGGGGACCGAATCAACAGCAGCGCATGCCATTCCCTTTGAAAATTTGGGAGCGACAGTGAGTCGCGTCCAAGTCCCATCTTTAAAGGACCAAATGACAATGGCTCTGCCGAACTTCTCACTTATGGCCTGAATAGATTTACCATCAGCCCAGCAAGTTGCTTTGAGGGAATCATTGACCCAATTGGTAAAATCCCCTTCGGATGGGAAAAGTTCCATGTACTTCCTTTGATGTTTTCGGAGGTATTCAACCATCTTAACCCGCATGAAAGAGGCCTCTTTGGCAGCCCGTTCAGGGGTAAGCGCTTCGGGGTCCTTGACAATGAAGTAAGAGAAACACCGATAGAAACAATCCCCATTTCCTCCCAAGTCAATCCATTCCCAATTTTTAGACTTAGCATCTTCAGGGTCAATAGGGGGATAGAAACTTTTGGGGGAATTGATTTTAGCTTTCTTTTGGGTATGTTGAGTGGCATCAGGAGATGGTGGATCTGGAACCGTTGGTGGCACCAACTGATCACTTTTCTCCTTACGACGAGGCGAACGCGAGGCTCGCGAGTTGGGAGAAGTCGCAGCTTCCCCTGTTTCCATTTCATCGGGCTGCCCAGCTTGTTGAGCTGATGAAACAGGAGTTTGCGCAGCTTGAGAAAACCCTTTTCCCCTTCCCTTAGATTTAAGTTTGGGGGTTTCGGTGGATACATTCCCAGTCGGAGACAAAAAATCCCCAAAAACCCGCTTAATGGAACCGGAATTAGGATCTTTAAGGGGTCGTTGATTAGGGGCCTTTGCGGTCTGGAAGCAACCTGAACTTCAATGTACCATTCGTGACCATTCTTGTTTTTTCCCATGTTGTACCGCCAATAGGTTTGTTTTGAGGCATCTGGAGGAGGACTGCCAGTGAAAAACCAAGCGCGGCCTTTTCTATTCAAGTTTTCGACTGTTTCCCATTTCTGAGACGAGAGGATCATTTGAACCTCTTCGAGATGCCAAGCACCGGGAATGCCATGCATACACATAAGTCTCTTCGTAGAATTGGAAACATCGTCGGATTTTCGGGGGAATCCCAAAGAACTCCCATTGCCAAATCTGAAAATGGTAGGTTGAACTCTGGTTTGTTGGAGATTTAAAACCCTCCTAAGATAAGAGTCATCACTTTCTCCAACGTTGCGTTGAATCCAAAAAGGTTGAGAGGACAAAACTTTGGGTCCACCAACCTGGCTGACAAAGATCCCATATTTGCCACTAGTATTAATCAAGGAAGCGGCCAAACTGGGTTTGATTCGGAGAAAACCAACAATTTGTTCCAAAGATCCCCTTTGCTCATGATTCCAACGTCCGCCAAACAAGTCAGAGACAGACCCGGAACCCATTTGGGATAAGGTTTGGATAATAACAGTAGGGCTATCACCAATGACATTTTCAGGGAGATAAGGTTCCCGGAATTTTTTGGGGGCACAAACCCGAATGGTGGTACGTTCAACTTTGGGGACATCCTTTTCCTCAAACTTGGTTTGTTTTTGGGTCCAAGGAGCTTTGGTGGAACCAACTTGGAACAAAGCAACGTTCTCAATCTTGGCCCCCAAACTACCCCGAGTCACGTTGAGACGAGTGAACAAAACACCCGGATGTTTTTGGGCTTGCCCCAACAAAATGAGAGTAAGGGGACCAGGATCATTGAAAGTTTGCCACAACATTTCGATCTGCTCAACATCCTGCAAACTCCAAACTTCACACACGTTACCAGGGAGGGCTTCCCCTTTTCGCAGGCAACCTTTAATTTGAGAAAGAGCAGCCAGTTTTGGGGGAGGTTGGATATCCCAGTCTTCTAATCTCAACCCAGAGATCCAAGTACAGGTAAACGACAAAGTCACGCCTAAGTCATGCCTAGCTCTGATCGGAGCCCTTCGGCCCATCTAAACGCCGTTTCCAAGAAGTCATGCCTAAGTCATTCCTTTTGCATATTTCCCAATGGAACGCTAGCTCGAAAGTCGTGTCTGCTTTACACTTTAAACCGCAAAAATCATCAAAAATCATCAAAATACGTGGTACTATCCAGTCATCGGAAGTTGGTGATCAAAAATACAACTTATTTTGAAGTCAGAGTTCGCTTGCGTTTTACGGTCGAGGCACGACTTTTACGTTAACCGTTTCCCAAGCTAATTCTGGTGATTCCCAAAAACGAGGCACGACTTTATCAGTTGTCTGTATCCTCACGTCGGTTAACTTTTTTTTTTCAGTGGGGTGTTGTTGACCAGAAAACTCATTTGAGGATTTCCCAGGTAAATCAACCCAAGACCACCATCCATTCTTATCAACAGTATAGGGCTTACCCTTCCAAAATTGAACTTTGTGGGTATCCTTTTCAGGGGGATCCTTTTTAGGGGACCTTTTCTTCTTTTGGGGTTTTTGGTTGGACTTGTTTTGAAGAAAACCAATCACCGACTGCAAGCTAGTGCCATTGTTGAGGCAAGTTTTGAGACCAGCAATCAAGGTTCTCAGGACGTTGGGTGGAATTCCATCGCCTTGTCTTGTTTTCCTTTTCCGTCTGGTTGCTGCGCTGCCAGCAGCTCCACCAGACCAAACATCGGACTGCATCCGCAGAATCTGCTCGGAAGAAAAGTGGCTTTGAGCAACACGACGATCCATCTCATTCAGTGACCTCTTGGATTGACGAAACCTACACCACTCAAGATCATCCATTCTTCCGGGCATTTTCCTAAGATGCTCTGCAACTTGCCTTCGCAATCTGCATTTTTTCCTGCTGTGTTTTGAAGAACCGTGGCATGGTGTCTAGCAAAATTTTGTGTTTTTTTGGGAGGGGTTCGGTTGACCCCTTTTCTTTTGGGCCTCTTTTTCCGTTTGAAAGATGAACCCAAGTGTAACATGGTGAAACAAGAACAGAGATAAACACCGAAACAGAGGTGAAAACCTTTTGAAACACAAATAGGGGGCCATTTCCCATCAATCACCCCAGCACAGGAACCATTAAGGTAATTATACGAAACAATGTCATTGCCACCAGTCACCTCGCAAGCCAAGTGTCTCTGCGCAGACCCAGCCACAGAGAGAGCTCCGTTGCACCAAGCAACGTCAAAAGTTGAGAGACCCATGGCAATAGCACCGACCGTTCCGTTTTGGGAGCCCGTTGGGCTACTGTAATTAGTTGCATCCAAGTCGCTACGAGTTGCAAGGCAGGCATTGGGCATGCAGAACAGCAACAGCGCAAACAGCGTAGCGTAGTTCTTGGTCATTATTCCAAAAGAGGTATTTTGATGTTTGAACTGACCCAAACAAGTGCGAGGGGAATTCCCAAAAGAGCATTGGGGTTTACCCTTCTTAATAGAACAGCCAAAATGTGCATCTTGTGAGCCAGGTGTCGGCCCCATACACGTGGGCCTTGCCTCTTTGTGCACGCTGTTCTCCTTTTCATTTTCTTTGTTTTTTTTTGGTTCTTTTGTATCCTTTTTTTTTGTATTTTCTTTTGTGTCTTTGTCCAAAGACTCATGCAACAAATTTGTGTCAAGTTCGCACCAACGTAGCGCAAACGCCACGCTGGCCCGGTGCCACCAAACGTAGGAGGTCTTGACAAAGCACCATGCCTAGGTTGCGAGGAAGGAGGAGGAAGGAAGACTTTGAAGCGTGCACCACCCCATAGTAGATGTTGCACAAAGAAGGACCTTAGTTACCGGGTTCCTTAGTATTCCACATGCTGTCTTGGCACTTAGCCAACCAGCATCGAACCTTCAAGACCTCATTAGGGCAGGAAGTTTTTTGAGCCCAACCAAGTCTAGCAAGAAAAGGACAAGACGGTTTAGGAGGAAAAGGACCAAGACGGTACGGACACTCCCAAGTGATGTGCTCCCAGAATCCAACGCCCCCGCACTCCCACGGGCAAGCAGAAGAACGAGACGACGAAGGAATGCGAGAGTAAGTACCCGGACTGAACGTGGCACCCAATCCGACCGTGGCAGCGACGGGACTGGACAAGATCCACGAACGAGTGTTCTTGATATCCAAAGAAGCAAAGAAGGAAAAGTTTGATCAGAGACAGGAAGGGACTGGACCTCATGCCTGCCACATTGAGAATATTTTTTCCAAACCCAAGCCCTCCAGCCTTCCCGAACATTGTGTTGAGCAAGACCGATAAGAGGCTCCAGCATTTTGGGACCAGGACGAACAGAAAGGTCGACCTCGACAGAGGCAACGGGATGACGCCAGACCCAAGGACGGACGGACGTGAAGTCGTGAGAACGGAACCAGGAACGCAGAGCGCCGGAACAAGTCCCACCATGATTAGACCAGGAAGCCGCAGCCGCCAAGCGAGTGACCCAGGCGACATCCAGGTGCAAGCTACCTCCCAAGAAAAGAGCACGCAGCCACGGACTGGAGTACCGGACACGGCGAGTTGAGACCCAAAAGGTAGCCCAGAGAGCAGAGAGAGCTAGCGACAGTCCAGGTGGGACCACGAGCAACCCAACCAAAGTTGGCTTTAGGGAGGGCAAATTGCTTGAGAAAATAAAGCTGAGTAGGAAGGAGGAATCCACAGCAACCCAGCAAACGAGCAGTAGCCTTAGCACCAGCAGTATGCCTAGGTTGCGATGATTGCATTGATGTAGACAGGTGCCCACTCGTAACACCGCTCTGTAGTAGGCCCACAAAAAGGCCAGGAAGTGAAGAAACCCAAAAACAAATGTACTGATCCAGGATGGATACACTGACTATAGCATAAAAACATGGCTCAGGCATTTTGACACTGCCAAGGTAAAGAAAAACAAAATGACACAGCAGTCGATTAATTCAGGCGAGGTGAAATAGTCAAACTTAAGATCCGGAGGTCGGGGGCTTATAGCGATGATTGAGTTGACATTTTATCACCTGTCACTGCCATGCAAGGACGGCGTCACCATTATTCGTTTCAGTACTTGGCCATCTCAAACGTGCTTGCAGGGGGCAGGGCTTGGCTGGCCGCTGCTCAGGGTTTGGGACATTTGGGCATGTCCAGATCTCGTGGTCGCAAGATGGCACTACTTGGCAATACGAACAAAGTGGGACATGCCTAGGTTGGGATTGATCGTCATGATGTGGACGAAGGCCAGTCATAGATTCAATAGTTCCACTAGAGCCGTTTTTTTTCATAGCCGCAAGCATGTGCACAACATCGGTCCAGTGTCCACAAGCATCACCGGACAGGTTAAACGCAACACAATGCTAAATCTAAGGGTCATTGTCAGGCGAACATTCACTAACTAATTAACCAATGAACTACAAAAAACGCTAAATAACATTTTACATGTATTTCCAATGTTTCTTTCGGCAGCCATCATTTTTATGTAAAATATTTTGACAATACCTTGAAGTAAAACATATCTCTCTCTTCCAAAGCATGTCTTCCTTGAAACATCAGCGTTAATTAAGTCTGTTGTGAAAAAACCGAGTATTCTAAGTGATTTAGCTGGATACAGCTCACAAGGAAAACTGAATTGCAACATTTCCAATATCATGTTGATAATTGCACCAGCAAAGGAAAAGTTAAATTTCTGTTGCCTCCACAACGTTCCTGTTGGTGAATGTTCATATCTTCATTAACTAAAAACTAAGTCATGAATAAAGATTAAAAATACAATTCGATTCATAAATAATTATTGACAATTACTTAAGTAAGGCTTTGGAACGTCAGTTCCACTCTTGGGACGATCCGAGAATGATAGGACCACAGCCGAGACCATCTCGCAGCCGCCGCGCGGCAGACCTTCCCCGTCCATCTTCCGAGGTACGGTTTGTCCCGAAAACCGTACGGTTTCGCGCATACACTATCTTTCAAAAACGCATTTCGTGCGAGACTTCCTCTATAAACTGCAGCCAGCTTCTACCAAACGATGGCAGCTTCTACCAAATGATGACAGCATTTGACAACTTCTACCACATGATGACATCAAATGACAACAGTGACAAATTCTACACCACTAAACAAATCCCAAGCAGCATTTTCGATTCTACCCTTCCAGACTTTGATGGGTATCTTTCAAGCAGGTCCTGTGAACATTGAGAAAGCGTGAGGCACATCCCACAACAACAACAACAGCAACAACAACACCCACCACCACCACCACCACCACAACAACAACAACAACAACACCAACACCAACACACCAACATAACAACAACAGCAACAAAAACAGCAACAACAACAGCAACAACAACAGCAACAGCAACAGCAACAACAACAGCAACAACAGCAACAGCAACAACAACAACAAAAACAACAACAGCAACAACAACAACAGCAACAAAAACAACAACAGCAACAACAACAACAGCAACAACAACAACAACAACAACCAACAAACAACAAACAACAAACAACAAACAACAACAACCACAACCACAACCACAACCACAACCACAACACAACACAACACAACACAACACACAAACAAACACAACAAACACACACAACAAACAAACACAACACAACAGACAAGCAAACAAGCAAGCAAGCAAACAAACAAACCAGCAGCAGCAGCAACAACAACGACAGCAACAACAACAACAGCAACAACAACAACAAGAAGAACAAGAACAAGAACAAGAACAAGAACAACAAGAAGAACAAGAACAAGAACAAGAACAACATGTGAACATGTACTCTGTACCCTTGTGGCCCTTTAAAGAAGGTTGGCCACACAAACACCCAGGCGGGTGGGGAACCGCGCTAGTGGCTGAGTGCGTTTTTCCTTTGTGCTTGGCGTTGGGGCGTCGTGCTCATTTTATCATGGAAATTGTTCTGGGTTGTGCCTGGGAAAGTGGTATTTGCAGGGCTTTCTGTTCTTAAAACGGTGGTCAGTTTTCACTTCGGCCAGGGTCCATCCAAGCGTTCGCTTAGGGCATGTCCTGTGAGACTCAAGTAATCTTTGGGAGTTCTATTGTCCATCTCCATTGCCAAATTCGAATCCCTGAAGCAAGTAAGAATTGACAGCACCATTTTGTGGGTGCGCAAAGAACTTGAGATGGAATTTTCGAACATGTTCCACATGCCATCCACCTCTGTGGGCCAGGAATATGCTCCATTTTTCTTCTTTATGCCAGAAAAAGTCTTGCTATGATTGGAAGCTTCGTGACCTGCATTGTTTTCATATGTTAGTTTGGGGTAGCAAGGTGCACCATGTGTTACCAAGGTACTTACGGCTGTCCCGCAATAGCTTGAACGTTCTTGCCCCACTCCACCCCACCCAACTCCACTTTCAACGTTGGAACATGTACATCTTCAAAAAAGGTTACAGCTATATGCACGCGCCGTTTTCCACCCGCTAGAACAAACATGACCAAGCTGGCTGAATGTTCACATCTGGGGCCAAGCTGCAATGTAGATTTGAAAGAGCAAGACCCAAACCTGACATCACAAATGGGGAGTCACACCTGACCTGACACCGGGAAGTCTGCGGCTACTACTGGCTTCTACTTCTACTGGTATATTGCTGGGATTCACCACCGTCAGTCTCTCCCATACAGTGCCAGCTAACTCAACCCAACACTTTCAATGGAGGGAATGCTCCTGAAGAGAGGGGGGAGGATACCTCACATCCAAGTTTGACCGGATGCTCCAGGGCTAAACCAAAAGCGAGCTAACCTAGAGGTGTAGCCAAAATGGGTACGTGTGGGTCAGCACTTCTTACATTCTTGTGTATCATCAGCGCTCCCCAAGCCTTGTAAGTTGCGCATGGTAGTCAAATCAAGCGGTTCCTGCTGATGATCACCCATTTGACAGGATCATAATTTTCTCCAATAAACTTGCCATACATCGGGGGCATACCTGATTTTCAGACTCACTCAAACTTGTGTGATGTTACTCTGGTGATGTTCATGTTCGATGTTCCACGAATTGTTTGGAGAATCCACCGTCACAGGTTATACACTGTTGGTAAATATATATGTTTTTTGAAAAGATTATACCATCAAAACCCTATGAAATAGATGATGTTTGTCCAAGTAGAATTGCTACATATAATAAAATACCATCAATGGATGTACAATGATTATACAATCATACATTTTTTTGATCTCCAAGTTCAAAGTGAGTCTTAGATACCTGTCAAAAATGCAACATAGTTTTTTTTTGCTGGTTTGTACCTTTTTTAGCATTGGTAGGAAAAGATTCAAGTACTAAAGTATCTTGCCAAAATACCTATGTCCGACGGAAATTTAGAAGTCTATCTTTCGACAATATGGACAGATGCAGCAACAGCGGGGAGAGCAGTCCGAGAAGAGAAAGGAAGAAGAGAGAAGATCAGAGAAGAAAATTGCAGAAGAAAGAGGATCAAGGTGCGCGAAAAGGTAGCAAAATCGCAAAACACTGTGTTTTTCCCATGTTTTGTGGCTCCGGAGGGTCAAAAAGTAGTTGCTAAAGCGGCGGGCGCGGAGCCATCTGGGAAGACGAGAGATGAAAAATTGCACGCCTTTGTGGCGCGAAGCAGATTTCGAAGTCAAAGGCTAAAAACACCTCACGTTCGGAGCTATTTTGCCAGTTGAGATCTTGAACAACTGCACGCCGCTGTGGCGCGAAGCACATTTCGAAGCCAAAAGTGTTAAAAACTAATGGGTTCAGGGCACTTTTGGGAGTGGAGAGGTTGCGAAAGTGCATGCCATTGTGGCGCGCGAAGCGCATTTCCAAGTCAAAATGCGCAAAGGACCTCGTGCTCGGAGCACTTTTGGAAGTTGAGAGGTTGAAAAAAAGCACACTTTTGTGGCGCCAAGCACATTTGGAAGTCAAAAGTGTCAAAAACTATGAAAATCTGCCGGGTTTGGAGCACTTTTGGATGTTGAGATGTGGAAAAGTGCACGCCGTTGTGGCACGAAGCACATTTGGAAGTCAAAAGTAATAAACACTGACGGTCTCGGACCACTTTTGGACGTTCAGATGTTGAAAACGTGCACGCAAATACTACAACCACGACTACGATTACAATACACTACAGCAGACTACAAATACTACAAGTACGCTAATTACACTACACGAAACTTCACGACAATTACCACTACAACTGCAACTGCAACTAGAACCACAACTACAACTACACTAGACTACAACTACAACTACACTACACTGCACTACGCTAGACTACACTGCTCTGAGCTACAACTACAACTACAGCTACAACTACAACTAACTACACTACAACTACAACTAACTACACTACAGCTACAACTACAACTACACTAGAACTATAACTACACTACATAAGATATAGACAGATAGACAGATAGACAGACACAGAGAGAAGGTGACAGAGAGAGAGAGAGAGAGAGAGACTCAGCGCCTCAGCCACCTTTCGATCGATCAGTGAGTTTTCTCTGCCATCCATGCATCACAGCGACTCACCTCTCTTATAGTGTCTTATCTTTGAAACTTCCGCCACCGCCTTGTGCCGGAACTACTGGTATGTAAATTACACATTATTGGCATCGGTATATATATATACACCTATATTATCAATGGATCTATATGTATTATACATATTTTACCATCAATATATCAATATTAGACATTATACCTATACTAAAATATATTACCTATACTAATATATAGTATAGACATATCAACATTTAAGACACATATTATACCATATTATACCTATATTAATATTATAGATGTAGAAATGGGTGCCCCATCTCCATCTCTCCCCGCCTCACCCAAGGGTCTCAAGGCATCTGCCGCTCCGGCCCAGTCGTAGCCTCCAGAGATGGAGCGAAACCTGGACGAGCTTCGATGGAGCGAAGATATGTGAACCAACCATTTCTGGAAAGACCCATAGAAGATACCATCATTTGGCCCATCAAAAAAAAATTAAAGAAGTCAACTCCTGAAATTGGTGACCCAATTCAAAGGCACCAGAATTGGGTCATAGTCGTTTTCAAGCAAGAAATCAACATTTTTCACCGCAAGGAATCCCGTGGTTTGAGTCCCGAGCCGGTGTTTCATTCCGATCCATGGGCCAATCCCAGCTAAATGTGTAGCAAATGGATGCAAATGGGCCGTTCAAAAGCGCACAAGCATACGAACAAAGACAAGGAACACTGGTGCCAAGAAACATCTGAATTTGACATTCGCCTTTGGGACACTTAGATACTTGACAGATCTTAACAGCCCCTCGGAAAAACCGATGCATGCAGCCTGCACCAACGAACTGAACATTGGATGGGATCAACCGGATCAACCAATCGAAGCACAACATAACCATCCAATGAATCCAATGTATAGCTTATATAGCCCAAAAGGCCCCACCTTTGAAGCTGAACTTATCAGCTTATCCCCGCATCCCACCATGGCTGGACTCGACATGATCTCCATGCCTGGAAATAAATAGACCAGCCGGTTTAAGACCATGAAGACAACCATGAATGAACAACTATATAGTTTATCAAACTAGCTTATGAAAACTCGTATATCAAAACTGCTATAATTTTGGCAAAAAGTTGTCAAAGAGATGTATATATATATGTATATATGTAAATAATTATATATGAATATATTACATTGTTTGTAAAATCATATTGAACTAGTCTATGGTTCTGAATCTATCCGTACGAGTACGGATAATCTGGTTGGCCTCTAAAACGTTGCAGTGACACATTATTACATGGGATAATGCTTTCGAAAAAAGGCGGGGTTCGTTTCAACCATCAAAATATACACCTGAAGCAGCTCAAAGAGGTTCATGATGGTTCATTCATAGGGATATCTAAAGAATCTAAAGGAAAACAAACGTTGGAAGATGAAGCAATAGGAACATCTGCCTACTGATTCACCTTGCCTGGGTCATCTCTTCTTGGGAACATCGAAACTACTTGGAACCGACCTGGCCTGGGGCTTGGATTGCAGGAGCCACAATACACTTACAGTAAATCGGAATGGCGTAGATAAGAATTGGATAGAATTGGAATTCCTGTCGGGTCTCACTGCGGCTACCTCGGTTACTGTTAAATTCCTTACTGAATTCAAGCTGAAGTCATTGGGAGAACAGGAGAGCAGCTTCCCCCAATAGGCTGCATGGGACTGGCTCGTAGCTTCTGAAAGTGAAGACACATTCAATTAGCATTGCGAAAAAAAACGCATCAAACAAAATGCATGTTGGACAAGGGCAAACAGTTGGAGTTTGGAAAATGGCTCCAACAGATCGCAGTCACAAAGCTCAAAGCATCCCATACCTGCTTGGGATCAAAACCTTTGGATCATTCTGGGACTCACATGACACTTTCCGGCACAGCCCAGCGACAGGGTCTCGATGGAAACCGACAAGGAGCCAAAGAAGCGAGTAGCATTGGCATCTTGCTCCTAGGTACCCGAAGATTGCAGTTCTACAGTGCTCGTTGCTTCAACATCCCTTGGTATTCAAAGCACTTTTCGGCAGTTCAGTGCCATAATTTCTCGTTGTGGTAAGTCACAAGGACACGCAAACAGTTGTCCATTTGGTGTAGCAGTTGGGTGAAGATCAAGGGTGGAGGATTTCTCGGCCTCTTGTGGGGTCTTTGGTTCTGACCAGTGACTAGGGAAATAAAAGATTTAAGATCACCACCCTCCTTCCCATCAATAAAGCGTCTTTGGAATTTCCTTGCAAGAGAATAAAATCACGCATTTTCCAAGCATGTCTTTGCAGTGACTGAACCCCATCGAACCTCTTTTACTGCGCTTAACTTTTAAAGGATTTGTAGGATATTTCTGTCACAGATCAATGATTTTCTCAAGTGAGAACTTCACCAGGTCTCCCAGCCACGGATACTTCTGCCCGAGATAAAGTTCAGGGGCTGTCATAGAAATTTGGTGCAGAATTGGAAAGTTGATCATTTTCCAAGTTTCTCCATCAACAGACCATAAAATTGGGCTATCAACTTTGGACAAAGCCACATTGTGTCAACAACTAACCAATAGATGATTGATGATTATTGTGGACTGTTGTTCCACCATAATCAACAATGCATTTTTTTCCACCATAATCCATCAACAAGAACAATACCATCAATACATATCGCTTGGTCGGCACGGGGGGATCCGACCAATGGCCCCTGTCAAACACCAGCCATAGGAAATTCCCCTTAAAGATGGGCAAGCATGGTCAATCTTTGGTCAAAAAAACACTTTTGCTGGTTATGGTTATTTTCCACAGCAACACTTTTGATGGTTATGGTTATTTTCCACAGCAGTTTAACTAAAGGATGAAGCTGATTAAACTATCCAAGGTTGGGGATGTAAGTAGGAAACTGTCTTCTTTATGGGGGATTTTCATTGCCATGTTTGATTAGATCCAAAAGGTCATCGATTAGAAACTCAAAACTCGCCCTGCCCCTTTTCTGTTTTGTCCGCAGGGCATGGTTTTCTTTGTGCTCCAGGACCACATCTGTAAATAGAACTCCTGTGCCGCTAACGCAAAAGAGGGGCGCGGGAAGATGGGGAGGGGGGCCCCTTCTTAAGATTCAATCACCTGAATAGCAATTAGTCATGGTGAACCACCGGCCAGCCGCCATTTGCCCGGAAAGCAATTCATGACGTCGCGACGAAGAGCCAAAACCGTGGAAATTCCCGTACAAAATGACTGTAGCAACATATCTTCAAATGGTTTTGTTGGAGATCGTAAACGGCTTTTGGATTTGTGACTGCTGCAAGGGTCCTCGAAAACTCGTTTTCCAAAACCCCTGTTTGAGCTCTTTTTAAGCATCTTCGGTTTCCTCCACATAGAACAATGGCATGACACACTCAGGCTTATATGGGGGAATTAATCCCTATTGAAGATCTTCAATGGGTGCAGAAGCTTAATGTGGGAACATGGGTAAGTTGGGACAGTTCAGAGTTTGGGCGAACGGCGGCGCCTGAGCCTAAACCACTGTTTTGTTGGTTTATATCCCCAAGAATCTGATGTTTACAGAAGATCCAAAAAATCGATATGTCAGAGGGAGCTTCAACTGCAACAACATGGGTAGGTTGCACAAGCCCGGAGCGCCGAGACTCATTGATGGTCATTGGGAAAGGAAAAGCCAACATTGAGAAACATACCAGCAGAAGTAGTGCTGTCAAGAAAAAAGCACAGGATATGATAAGCAGTGGTTTTGCCACCAGCACTGGTGATATGAACAATCATCTTCCTGCACGTTGCCCTCTGGGATTGGATCAAAGGGGCTGGATCGCTGTGAGATCGAGCTGGGGACACTTGGCCTTCCTTGTTCACTCAGAGACTGCATTTCAATCTTGACTGAGTTTCACTGCAGTTGTCACCTCCAAGTGCTTTTGCCTCTGTCTTAAAAAAACCGGGTGTAACCAGCTTTGCACCAGCGGTGCTCACAAGGTACTCGCACGGCTCGGGGGATGTACGGCATAGAATTGGCATAGAATCCCAGATACTGGATGCAGTGTCTCTGGCTCCGATGGCGTATGACACATGGGATGCTCACTGTGTATGCAATTCAAGTGACATTCCACACTTGGATAAATGCCCATCGAAATGACTAAATTGAGCTAACCTTTCTCTTCCCAAGTCTTAAATTCCGATGCAGGGCTCACATCACAGGAATTGATTTGCCCCACGGATGGTTCCAGCTCCATCTTGTGGGAACCACCCGCCTACATCCACCTACCACAATGGGAGGAAAAAGTGTGCAGAATCTTGCTCTATTGGATACATAGTGCGGTCTTGGAGGCTCAACCCACCAATAAATATCTTCAACCACGAACCAGAAAACTGGGTTTGGCTCAAACCCCAACGTGCCCACAACCAGCATGACATTGTGTGCTATGTGCTAAGCAATTGGAGTCAGTTAGTCATCTCTGTTGTGACTCGCCTTGATTTCAACAATTGTTTTGGCTGGGTTGTTCAAACACCAATCAAACACACTATATATACACACATATATCACATATAAAACATATATATATATATACATACATATCACACACACACACATATATATATATATATATAATACATATACCTAGAATCTAGATGACGTGATGGATTCACAGATGCGACGTCTCCTGCAATATAAATGATGATAAAAAGAAGCACCATGGCCCAGAAGAGTGGCTTCCTGATACCAGGGCCAATCCGCGTCAGTCAGGTTTTTTTTCAGAGGTGATGGTCAAAAACAGGGTCTGTGAAGGATATTGGAATCACCACCAATTACTATACACAACCATTGCTGGCAGGAATGTTTACAAAGACGGATGCGTGCTGAAACTACGCCAATTGCAGAAAGCTACTTTTAATCACCATCTGTCATACAGGGTACACCAGGGTACTTAGAGTTATTAATCACCTTTTAATCACCGGGGTCGCAGAAAACCAGAGATTTGACCGGTTCCTGGAATAGTAACCCGAATGATCCTCATGACTGCACGGCAAGAAAAACACCTACACCCTCCAAGCACCTGTCCAAATGGTAGCTTTCATACGATTGCATGTTTTTGGGTAGTTGGAGGCTCTAGGTATATAGTATAGATGAAACATGAACTCACAAGCCAACGCATTTCAATCACTGAAGCTCTGTGAAGCGCAAGGATAAGAACCCAAGGACAAGAACTGGACTATTGGATTCCTCCATTAACATTACCCAAATATGGTGGAGGTTCTCCGCCAAGGCAAGTTGAGCAAGGGATATCGTTCAAGTTCTGGGGGCCGAAGTCTGAGTTTTCAGGTTAGGCCAGGGCAATAGGTCAAAACATAATCAGAAGACCTGACAGCCACCCTGCTGATTGTCAAGATTGCTTCCAAGAACTCTGCGGTTGGTGTCAAAAATCTAACAAACTCATCTTGGCGACTTGATGGCCAATTTTTCTCGATGCCTGGATACCTTTCAAGAAGCAGGGACAGTCATGTTATGTACGTGAACATTTCACCACAGCTCATTTTCCCATGTTGAAGCAAACATCAGTCGGCTCACCAAGTTTACATTTTACAACTCCCAAGTGTTTCTTTTGCACATTTTCCTTACTGACAAAAATGCTCTGGTCACACCGGGACCACAGCAAGGCGCAAGGTGTCAACCAGGGAGGACACCAATGTCCTCAAGGCGCCCACAAATCCTGGGTCGTTTCGCCCTGGAATTATGCCCGGGAAAAACAGGAGCTGGTGATAGCTGTTGTGTATATATATATATAGAATAATAAAAAATATATGTATATATATATATATATACACATACATAACTAATACATATAAATAGCTAAATATAAATAAGTATATACTATATACTTACATATAGTAACCCCATGTAACCCCCAAATAGAGAAGGTCCAATTTGTGACATTTTTGTATAGGATTTTACAAATTTCTACCTGTTTTGGGTGGTTGGTATATTATGGTATAATACTTTTCTGGTCGCCGGATTGAAACACGAAAGTCAACTCAGGGTCGTCTTGGACTTCTAGCCAGGTGGGAAAGGATATCTATGGCCCCATGTGCCACTGTGTCACTACCTACTCCACAAACATCCGTCAATTGGGGTGAATCGCTGGAAGCAAAGGGATGGGAAGAAATAGGTCTATGATTTAAAAACACAAACAGAAAAGCACTTTCTTCCAGTGATCCAGACCATTCTGACATTTTATTTGATGTTGATGTATATATTTGACACTCTACCTCACATTCTACTTGTCATTTTTCTGTTTTTTTGTGGCATTTTACCTGAAACATATTCTGATGTTCTATCTGACAATTTATCCGGCATGGTCCGTGGGGCCCAGTAAGCTGGCGAGCTAGCCATAGGTTTCAAGTCCGGCTGTGAGGAGAGACCACCTGGGTGACGAAGAATTCTACCCACCAGGAGATTGCGTGGAGCCCTGACTCGGTAAGAGGAGGCTTTCAGAAAGACTTTCTGGTGCACCGCACTGAATCCGGTATGAATCCCCCTGGTCACCATTGAGGTACCCGGTTTTATGCTTGGTGCTTGGACAATCCCAGAGGCCCACCGTGAGAAAAACATCCCTAAAGCATCCTGCATCTTAAAGCAACAGCCAACTGTACCGTTGGTCATCAGGTTCTAGGTCCTGCTTGTTTTCGGCTTCAACCCACAGCCAACCACATCTGACCCTTCCGGTTGCGACAGAGCGGGGTACAATATAACATCCTCATCATAGGTATTGGCTTTATACCGTCCCCGAACCGGATGACATTGAACCCACAAGGAATGTATGAACCTTTCACATCCGATTTCAAACCCTTTCATGTGTCTCCAGCATGTCACGCAAAACAAACATCTCCGAGCATCTCACGATCCAAATGGTTTTGACGATCCGCAGCAAGCGAGACACTCGGAAGAGTCTCAACACCCGGACACTCGAATTCACGTCCGTTTTGTCCTTGGAAGCTCTCCATTGGGGAAAGCATGCGGAAAGCATGGCCCGGGACGGGTTATGGCATGTTGTGGCTATACCTCCCTTGGACTCACTGGCACAGGCCTTTCCAGTTACAGTATGTTACAGTAGTATGGCTGAGACGGCTGATCCCTGCGAGTGACAGGCTTGAGCTGGCGGTGCTTAGGCACATATCCATTGCACTTCAGAAACACGTAGAAGGTGCTTGCGGTGTTTACCTTCACTCTGGGGGGACATAGGGATTCCCATGTTTGTTAGCAAATGCTACAAATGCTTGGCTGTGATGTGCCATGATGTTTGCATCCCATCAGTATCAAATAGCGGACGCTGACATAGGCTCCGCATGTGCTGTGGCCCTCATGTGTGAGATGCAAGATTTCCTGTGGACACATGGCATGAGCCAATGAAATGTACACGGCGCTGCGCGCTGACGCGGCACTCTTTGCAGCTGATGGCAATCGTAGGGCAGCAGCTGCTCATACTTCTTCTTCTTCTTCTTCTAATGAAGTGTAGACGTGACCGTCTTTGGCGTACCGAGCAGAGACGGGCGGACATCACTGCACGACCGCTGTTATCCAGCCTCAAAGGGTTGTTTTGTACAGCACCTGCCACAGGGCTGCACCGCTGTGGTTCCCCTGTGTACCGCATGCAGACACCGGCTCTTTGAGTACAAAGCAGGATGGGACTGTAACATTCAGACGCCATCGGAGATGCACCCAACTTGGACTATCCCAGTCGGAAACCAATATTAATATGCACATTCAAAGGGAGAGAGAGAGAGAGAGAGATATATATATATAGATATTCTGTTCAATTTGATTCAATGCCTCTCTCAATTAACGTGAAGTGGAACTTCAGTGGAAGCCAACATTTTAAGATGTAGTGTTCTGACCAACTTCTCCGCACTGCGGTGCCTTTTATTTTAAAGGGTCCTTCTTCAAAACCCCACCGAAAGTTCCATGGATTCTCGTGACGGGTCAAAAAGGGCATATCAGGTCCTATAACATCCTATAACATTCTGTAACATCCTAGAACATCGTACACCGTCCTATAGCATTCCAAAACATCCTACCAGGTCCGGTAATATCCGACCACAATTATCCTAGATATGCCATATGACTGGGAGGATGCACATCCATAAGTTCCAGCTAGGCCAGCTAGGCCAGCTAGGTACCAGCCACCAAGGCGCGCTTGATCCCAAGACTTCCAGAATGATATCGATCCACGCCTCAGCGCCGGAACCGGTTGAACCGCTGCACGACGAATTTTGGAGGCAAAACAAGAACCAGTTACAGTATAGTGGATTATAATATGGTTACTTTAATATGGAGTACTATTATAATGGGAGATAATATGGTTTAGCTTACTATTTACTATTGTGGTCAATCATTGGTAGTCCACAAACAAATAATATTTTGCTGGCTATTATATATATAGCAAAACACTACAGGATTAAACTACCTATCCAAGGTTGGGGATGACTAGAATGATATTCACCCATGTCTTAGGCACTTTTACTGGTGAACATTGAACTATGAACATCTATGAACTGATACCCTAGCAAGGCTTTCCCAGTGTTTTCTGTGACTATTCTCCTGCAGTTTTACTATGGCCACTTTAAAACCAGGGGTGTGCCAGAGGTCTGGAATGCTGAGCCAGTCTCTAAAAGATAGATAAGAAACGTCTCCTGAAGGTTGCAGGAAAATCCTCTTTACAAGATATTTTGATGTTTCACCAGGGCTACAAGGTTTTGAATGGTTTTGACTTGTCCTCATTTCTTTGTTTTGAGCCGAAATTACATGTTTTAAAGTCACTTGGCACAAGTTTTGCACCTTGGAGAAATGTTCCGAACGAGCCGCAGCAGAAACCACCAGCACGTCCAACCAATTCCTGGTCCAGGTCGACACCATCACTGGTGATGGATTGTCCATCATCCCGAATTGGGGGATTCTTGTTGGATTTACCGCACTAGATTTATCAAACCATCTAAAACCTCAGTGTATATAATATGTATGTACACACATATATATAATACGTATGTATACACATATGTATATATATAATATGTATGTATGTATATATATAATATAATATAATATGTATGTATATATATAATATTTATATATGTATATATAATATATCTATATGTATATATGTATAACTCATATATATATATATATCTGTATATGTATATATATATATACATACATATAGTTATATCAATATATAATATATAATACTGGTTGGTTTGCAGCTCCCCGAGTAAAAGTTTAACTTCTACATCAGGTATAAACTACCATGATCCCCAAAAAAGCTCAAAGTCTAAGGGAATGGCTGGGAACCATCATGTATATCTAAATATTTGCTATATACCAACTGCATATAGTAAACCATCTGTTGGCGAGGTATCACTCCAATCGCAGAATCTCTGACCACAAAAAGAAAAAACATCACAGCAAAAGTGGAAAGCTCGCCTAAAATTGAAATAGAAATGCACCATAAACTTTCTGTTTGTGAATGGAGAAAAACCTGGCGGCCATGGAGTTGCATGGCCCAAAACCAGCTCAATCATCTGGTAACATGTTGAGAATTCCTCCATAATGCCACGGTGACCATTCATGTTGGGCCCATGAGAACATGAGCTGAGCGACAACTTCGACATGTCCACATCTATTTTCAGTGAATTTTAGTTGTCCTATGCTATGCCTAAACCCTGTCAGTGATGCCTGTTTCCCATCAAAAATGGTCCCTTTTATCAAGGCAGCCTGAAAGGTGCATCCACTGAAGTCACTTCAATCATTTTTCATGGATTTCTGGGCTAATATAGCTATAGAAAATTTGTCATTTGTATGATGTACACTTGATTTACCTATTATCAAAGATGGTGATTTCCCAGAGTGATGTAAACAAAACAGAGGGCACTTGTTGAGAATCGACAATAGTTGAGAGTTTTCAATATGATTTCCCACGATACATCATGAGAATCCCCGGAGCTCTCTTAGTGGAACCACGTAGTATATCCGGGCAACTGGACAATAATTCACACAAAACATCGATATATTTGCTCCCAACATGCTACAAGGAACGGGACACTTGGCAATTTCAAGTGGTGAAACCAGAAGTTTTTCCCCCTCCTTGTAGGAATCAGGACTCGCAATAGCTTGGAGCAACCCTGTCCCGTTAACTCCAACGCTTCCAAAAAGACTATGTCATAGCGGCTATGTAGTAAACCAGTTTCAAAACATCGGGATGGTTTACATCCATTTCTAGGTTGTCATTGGGGGTGGTTTGCCATTTTGAATTCTAACTAATTTTATTGGTAGCTGATATCCCCCAGTTCATGCTGTTGATAGCCCAGTTTATTGCTGCTACACAGCCCCTCTTCTGGGTTGCGTATCAAATTTCACGGCCGAGGTGACCCACATCTTGGCAGTGTTTGAATTGTCCAATTTGAGGGTGAACTGCTGTTTACCCTGAAGGTCTACCAACATTTTAGGTAGAACAACCCGTATTGTCCAAAAATCACCAAAAAATCGCTGCTGATTGAACTGACTTATTGGGTCAATCCCTCCATTGACCCCCACATGGATCCCACTGATTGGCATCCTAACACATCCCGTTTATTTTTGGGCTCATGCAAATGCCCATACTGTAAATCCCAATGAGCAGAGGGATGCTCCGAAATTCTATCAGGATCATTCACAACGGCCGCATCAAATCCACAAAAGGCGCGGTGATTTTACCATTGACTATAGCTATAAGATATGTGTACGATAAACGTCCATGAACCCTAGCTAGCTATCTAGCTATCTAGCTATCTAGCTATCTATCTATCTAATCTAATCTGACCTAACCTAATCCAATCTAATCAGTATTAATCTAATCAGTATTAATCTAATCAGTATTAATCTAATCTAATCTAATCTAACTTAATCTAATCTAATCTAATCTAACTTAATCTAATCTAATCTAATCTAATCTATCTATCCATCTATCTATCTATAAACATGTTTTAGTGATTAACCTATTTGTTCCAACAGTTGTAGCTGGTTATACTGAACATTGAGCATGCAGTTAAAACATGTTAAAAATAGGTGTTATTTCCCAACTTATAGGGGTTTAACATCTAAAAACTATACCCGTAAACATAACCCCAACTGCACCCCCAAGTAGATTATATTTCATTGTGTCCCCATTGAATCCTATTCTGAACCAATTAAATTGTATAATTCCATGATATACCCATGAATTCCCATTAGATTGGATGCACGTATTGTCACATCCAGAGACAAGTCGTTGTAGTTATAGGGCTTATTTCCCAACTTGTGGAGGTTTAATTCCATTCATTTGATTCGAGTAGCGGACGATTTTATATTCCAAGCATAAACCCTTAAAAGTCCAGCAGCTATACTAGTTACCAAATTAGTTCCAGTTAAAAGTGGGCAAATAAACATATAGCCAAGGGGTTTATACCCCAAATTAGTTAAATTGAACCATATAAAGCCACAAACCATCACCTATATACATCTATCCTAGTTATATTTATGGTTATATCGACCAAAATCATACTTACAAACCATCCATTAATCACAGTTACTATACCATCTGTCAATTTCACATAGCTATGGGAACATCACACTTTTTAGTAGGCAAATCATCTACCATAAACTTTAGCCATAACTTAGTTAGTTGGTTTTTATGGTTTTTGGAAGATAGTTAGAAACTCACTGACTGTAGTTATAACATGTTGTCACTATATTAACTTTATAACCCAATGAGCTATATTTATTTACGTACTTATATAGTTAACCAGTTAACCGCAGCTTATATATGTATATACAGCATAGGTAAATCATATATCTAGAGTCATATCTACCATATCTAGGTGCGTCTACCATAAGCCATACTAAAGTTGGGATATAACTATAGCTATATAATATATATAGGTAATTTATATCAAACTATAGTGGGCTTACACACCATCAAAATCATAGGACTATAAACGCTAGATGGATAGAGATCTATATATCTCTCTATATATATATATATGTAGTTGGTGTATTCACTAAATAGTTTATGATATCTATCTATAGTAGATTCGTAGATCTATGCAAGGGTTTCTGGGTGAAGTATATCTGTTTCACCGAAAGGAACCCCAAGTCACCACAGGTTTCAATACTAAGTCGTGGTCATGACTCATGACTCAGGAAACCACCATAATGGGCTTCCAGCTGTGTCTGGGTGCTTTCCGGTCTGCGGGAGGTTCCAACCTTATCATATATATATATATCTATGAGCAATAGGATTTTCACCCACTTAAACCATATAATTTTCACCTAATTAACCCATGTTTCTTTCTATAGAGCATAGTTATATCATATGTCTATGTCTGTAATTAAATCCATCATAAACCATAATTTATAAACCATCGCTTCTACATATGTCTACAAAAAACATATTAAAGTTGGGATATAACCATAGGGTAAAATACGTAGAATTTTTTGTGGTTTATAAACCGCTTAGAAAGCCGTTCAACAGCCAAGGCTCCAGGCCCAGCCGCGGCCCAAAAAGTAGCGCCGCGGACCATCGGAGACGACGCGCAAGAGCAACTCCTGCAGGAAATGTGGGGAATAACATGGGAAAATATGGAAAACTTGGAAAATATAGGAAAATGTGAAGAAAACATGGGAAATTGAAGGGACTATGTGGGAAAACTAAGGAAAACATTGGAAAATCTGGGGAAAATGTTGGGAAACACGTGGGAAAAAACATGGAAACACTGGAGAAAAATGTAGGAAAACACGGAGGAGCAACGTAGGAAACTATGGGAACACAATGGATTTCGTGAGGAACTGGAGGATTTATTCCCAAATCATTGCAAATTCAAGATGGAAAATGACGAGAAAGCATAGGATTTTGAGGTACCATACTTTCAGTCAAAACCATAGCAATTCCAATCATAGCCGGTCAAGATTTCAGGGCACCGGGAGCGCAAGGGCATCCACCATCCCCATTATCACCATTTCATGGGTGGTATAAGCCATCCCCAAGTGGTAGGTTTATGGTATTGGGTTGACTACATTGTTCATCATCCGTAAAAATATGGCAGTACCCATGTTTTTTTTGGACACGTTCTCATACTCGGTCCCACAAGAAAATGCATCTTACAATTTGGTATGGTCCCCACCCGGAAAAGTAGCCTTAAAGGCTCTTAAAGGGGTGGAGATATCATATGATATCTGAACTATAATCAATATAATCAATATAACATGGGTCTGTTTGAAAAAAATACCTATACTGGGGATATATGGAAAAACAAAAAAAAACAAGGATGTAGTGGACATATGTATATATATATATAGGATAGATTGGGGTCTTTAGAGGATTCTGGAGGTACAGTTAGATTTCCATTATTTGGATTTGTCGCATTTGGAAAAATGACAGATCGCCAAGTAAGCGTCGAGAAATAGTACATAGAGATAACATGGAACAAATCAAACAAAATGAACAAATAACCAGCAATAACAAAGATCGGAACACATCATATCATTTCAGCATAACTCAACCATGTATCGGTCCGTATAGATCATACTGCTGTGATCCTGTGCCGTGTTTTGTGCAACTTGTCATGCCGAGATACGAGTGCAAACAGGCACGCATAGATGAAATGAACCTAGCAGACCGTGGTCAATCCATTCAAAACTTTCGAACAAGTGTCGCACTGAAGTGGTTTTCTTCGCTGCACAGATAGTCATGGTGTTTTTGAGGATGAACATTGCGTTAAACGCTAAACTCAATGAACCATGGAAAATCTTATTGACAAACTAATTCGGTTGTTGAACGTTGGACATGGATGATATTTTTTCTTCCGGAATTCTGCAAATGGTTCTAACACTCCCCAATGATCAGAGGATGTAAAAAGAACACCCTTGCTGCAACAACCAATGAGTCCGCCGGCGGGCCCCAGTAGGCAGATCTGGGGGCTGAAAATCTCGGAGCAATCGACCCATCCACGTTTTTCTCATTAAATTGACTATTTGGGAAGGTACCCTCTGGTGTCTTCAAACGTGGCAAGCTGAGAAATCGTCTATATTTGGAGGTTTCAAAGAGCAAATAATCTATAAAAGGTTTGGGTTTTCCTTGCCGTGATTAATTACCGGAGGTTAGATTTCTTTGTTACAGACGTCCATATGTCCAAAAAACGTGGGAAGGAATATCAATTTTCTGGAGAATGTATCCTTCGTCAAATGTCCACGTTTTGTCCAGGATTAGACCAAGAAATATTAACCCGCACGCAACAAACACCAGGGGATATATTCATCAATATCTGATCTTGGGCAACTGTAAATTTAGTGATATCCCGATTCTTCCCCATCAATGCATCAGGTGTGTGTGACGTATCTGACCATACGGCGCCTCAACATATCAATCGTTGATCATCAATTCCTATGTATTGGTCAATAGTTTCCAGCATGTCTTTGACAAACCGATATTTGTGGTTCGTTACATCTGTGTGTATGAACACACACACATATATATATATGTACACATACCCAGCAGTTCGGCGACATAGCTAAGTCATGATCCAGAACAAAAGCTTGCATTTCCTATATTATACGTAAAACAAACTTATCATCAGAAGCGCTGATTATATGGTAATGGTTCGGATGGTTTCATGATCTGTCCCATAGCTGTCTCATGCTCACGAAAAGGGGGCGTTGGTTTTTGGGTGTGCTCAGGAGCTCATCTATGTCTATCCTGTCTGGAACTCTGATGTGGGAGTGTGGGAGTTGTGTTTGACAGGGCATGACAGGGCTACATATTCATGATGATAACGTGTTGGATACCGACTCCTCAGGTCATGTTGATGGTCTGACGCGGAGGGCATTGAACAGATGTCACCAACTCAGAATCAACTCGTCAGAAATAACCATCTCTAATGCAATACACTTGGTTTCTCTCCCAGGCCATGCAGCTGCTGCTCAAGGTCCCACCTCCCTTGCCATGCCTCATTTCATATAATTTTCTCACTGCTTCACTGATTTGTTTGTGAAACTTTCTCTGGCTAGAGCGTTTTTTTTGCTCAGAGGGTCGAGCATCGGTTGGTCAATAGCCAAGATGAGAAGGTTCCGGCTGTCCAGGCATTGGTGTCTACTTTTGAACAGTCAAACGATCAAAGAATGGCATCATGTGTGGATACATGTCGATACGATTGGGTTTCTTGAATTTGTTTTCCTTTCAGAACATGTCATTCAACCAGAACACCACTCAGAATCCGTCTCCGGAGTCATCGACCTGGCACAGGCATGGGCATTCCAGGAAGAAAACGCAGTTCGTACCTATGCCATCACAAGGCTCTCAGGGACAAAAGTTGGAAAGCAGGGCCATGATGTGATAGCATGTTTTGGTTATATATCATGTTGATTGCGTACTATAGAGGTAAATATATGGGCGCGCGTGGAAATGGGACAAATCAGAATTATTGCCATCACAGGGATTAGGGGCATTCTATTGTTTGACAACTTCCTGGTAGCACTCTTTCTTCTCCGCTCGCTTCCGAGTCATTTGTGCCATGTGTGCAAGCCTGCAGTGACACGTTTTCTTTGACCATGTTACTATTTTATTTATTGTTTATTGCGTGCCAAGATGCTCATGTGATTGTGTAGGAAAGCTATACCACTGCAAGCTCGTTCTGACTACATTTGCCTACACTCTTCCTTCTTGATAATCTTCTTCATTCTGACCACATCAGCTCTGGCCTTCTTTCCCCTTTCGGCGATTTCATCTGGTGTTTGTTCCTTGTTCTCTTCCCTTTGTTGAATCTCCAGGCCCAGGCACGGATATGCGCCAATTTGGACTGCTGTGGACACGACCTGAACTTCCATCATTCTTTTTGCCATCCTTTCACCCGCAGAGTCAAAGGTTGATTCACTTGAGGTATCTGCTGGTGTCCCACCATCTAGTTACCATCCAAGGCTGACCAGTTGCCATCCATACGGGGCCACGGCCTGGGTCAGATTTTTGTGATTCTGAGTGGGTGACCACCTCCGTCGGTGTTGCCTCTGACTTCTCTTCCTCGTCCGCTCTTCGGAGTCGCTTTGCCTCGGGCTCCTTGTCAAGTTTCGAACCGCTGGAAGCCAAGCTTCGGCAGGAAATCCCCAATCGTACCCATCATCACCATCTTCAATTGCGACTTTACCGTTGCGCTTCCACATGAGGGCATCCAATCCAAAGGGGGCTTCTTCCTCTACTATGCCCTTATTCTGCCCTCCTGCTTTCTTTTTTTCCATTCCTTTGCCTCCTCTTCCTTTGCATAGAAAATGGCATCCCTGTTCATCTGGATCTCCTGAGCTCTCCTCTCTCGGTCCAGGTGCTTGTTTAGTAGATTGTTGTTCTTATCCCCAGAATCCATTGGCGCTTTGAAGATGTCTGAAGATCTTAAGTGTTTTGTAGTGCTTCTACAATGTGGTTTGCAATCTCCTTCTATTCCATTGTGGTTTGGGCATGTTTGGGCGGTTTCCTAGTATGAAAGTCTTTATCACATCGTCTCAGCAATTTGATCATTGTCTGAATGCCACTATAGACATGATTAACGTTCACTGTTCTCAGCACGGAGCGCATAATCCAATCCAAACAGTTAATTCACATGGGACTGTGCAACGCCAGGCATCCGAGATTACAAATTCTCAAGGACATCGTGCAGAAACAGTTCGAGGTCTGATTTGCAATGCGAAGAATGCATTCAAACATTCATGCAGCAGTAACAACATGTCGTCGATCGTGGTTTGGCCCATACAGAATCTGTTATGTCAGGTGCATGGTGTCGTCAGGCGAAAGATGAAGAGAAAGGCGTATGCTTGTTGGATTCAAATTGTATGATACTTGTAGGTACTTGATGCTTGTGAATAAGTATGCTTATGCATGTATATGGCTATATACGTGGCGTCGATGTAAAACCTTGATCTGATCTCCGACAACGTCGTAGTTTTCCCTTGTCTTAAGACTGCCTGGGTATATCTTTATTATTATCATAATAATAATAATTAATAATTAATATATATATATATGTATCTACACACACACACACCATAATAAACATCCTAGTAAATACATGTAAGTACCCTATTTGGCGAATTTCCTCTCAGATCTCGCATCACCAGGGCGCCACAAAGAAATTGGTCTCCCGGAAGTTCAGTTGGATACCCAGAAAGGCCGCATTCGAGGCGATGATCAGGGCCCACAGGAGATCGAAATACGGCGAATGCGCCAAGGTCGTAAAGCAGCTGCTGACACTTTCTGCTCGAAATTCCAGCGTTCCTCAGAGTTGGGGTGCCCATGCTGGTGAAAGATGAGTCTCATTTAAGTTCACCCAAGGGTTTCTCAGAACATGTCCATCGTGCAGTGATTATCTGGACACCAGACCCACTATCTAGAATCTAGCCACCATGAGCGGGCTGTATTTGGCTATACCCATTTTCTGAGCATTACGAACTTCAAGCTGGGTGGCCCTTCCACAACACCAAAGATTCCTGGAAAAGGAAACTGTCGTTAACCACTTCTACCTGGGGGTTTAACCAGTATCCCTAAATATATACATCAAACATTATCAAACCATGACAATACGGATCTTAAGCCGAGCCCAAGGATGAACGATTTTCTATTTTCTGGGCTTCGGACCCATTCATCCCACGTTTGCGCACAGACCGAGGGTCGGATCTGTTCTCTGATTTGAGGCAAATGTCCACCTGTTGATGATGGGTTAAGTGACCCATTTTCAGCGACCCATGTCCAGCCTGGTTCACTTAGCTGTCGAATTCTGCCAGAACTAACCACTTGGACAACTGGCATTTCCCATGCAATGCTGAACATATATGTCTAGATTTCACCGCTTCAGTGTCACAAAAGCATTCGAACAAAACAAGAGCTATTGAATCTGTTTGCATCCATGCATCAAATCCCAAACCTGACTTTATGCCATGCGCGATGCTTTCCGAAATAGTTTCTATCAAGAAGCAATGAGTTGGCTCAGGGAACTTGCAAGCAGTTGCTAATGCCCCTTTATACACTGGACTCAATTAAATAGCTTCTCATGACCCCTACCTTCCCTCAAATTTGTTGCCTTCCAAAAAAGATCCAAAAAGAACATGAACATATCTCAACAAGCCAACCCACAAAACCACTGATCAAAGACTCAAATTATCCTATTGGGATCCAAACACCTCCAGTTACACTTCCTTTAGGAAGCTATGGCTGGATCCATAGGGTATGGTACGAATCAGCTGAGCGGCGAGACGCGCTCTCATAACCTGGTTGGCCGTGGGTGACCATCCAAGTTCGCTTTCATGATTGATGTCAGGATGTGTCAAAACATATTGTACGAATGAGATCATATGTGCATACAGATATTCGTATATATATATATTATTTGATGTATCTATATACACTGTAAGCATTCTATACATATACATATTTGCGTATATATGAGGTACACTCATGATTGCTACCCAGTCATGGCTGGCATCCCAAGATCCAGCATCTGGCCCAGATCCAGATTAGCGGCAAAACACCCCTTGGGAAGGAAGGCTAGCCGTCAGGAACTTAGCTGAAGTGATACATGTCCGAACATTCACACCAGATGACAGAACAACCATAATGACTATAATCCCTATGGATCCACAGTAGTTAACACCCAAAAATACCTCAAACACTTCCTAAGAAGGTACTTGGATCCAGGGGAAATGTTGGGTTGTCTCTCGTCCAAGCAAGTTGCCGCGGGTGATAGAGCATCAAGCAAGGTCAAGCAGTGTCAATGCGAATAAATCCACATTTTCAGAACTTTCTGGTCTTGGTAGTGAATTTGGAAGTCACGGGCAGATCATCAGATGTATACAAGCGGATTTGTTCTGAATATGTTGCTGGCTTACAAAGCCTACCCTCTGGTAAACAAACATAGCTATTGAAAATGGTAGTTGATTTACCCATTAAGAATGCTGATTTTACATAGTTGTGTTAGTTTACCAGAGGGTATATCATTACTCTCACAGGAAGTCATGATGCCCTCGACGCCGAGCAGCTGCCACATTTCTTCAACATGACCTGCGCGCAGCAGCGGCGCAGCCTAGTTTTCTACAGCTCCAGGTGCACAGGCAACCATCTGCAACCCACTTGGGATTGAAAATAGTTTGTACATGTACAGATTAAATCATATTAATACATAATATATATATATATATACACATGCCCTTTCATAGTCATTTGAATTTGAATAGGAAACATGAACTCTTGGAATTCGAGCTACCGCAATAGAAAAATCAGAAAGGTTTGTCTAAAACCTGGGTACCCTCAGTCCACGGTTGATCATCATGTTCCTTAGTGTTCCTTGCCATGTACAAGGGACATATCCGATATTCAGACACACTCAGAAATCGTATCAAGTTGGTTCATGTTATACAGTATCTTATGAATATCCAATAAAACCCAATTTCTATCCCATGAAAACCATATTGTATGTTGCAACTGATTGGTTGATTTTATGTTAATATATATATATGATATATATATATGATATATATATATATATGATATATATATATATGATATATATATATATATGATATATATATGATATATATATATATGATATATATATATATATATATGATATATATATACAGTATGTATATATATATATCATATATATGATACGCACTTAGGAATCATCTTGCGAATCCCATTGGTGGATGTTCCAATTTCCGGCGCCTTGTGAAGATCAGCTCCGGGTTGACTCGTTTGTGACGCAGCCGTGCCGCGAGGATCCACTTCTTCAACGGTGTCCACGTTCACCACGCTGCTGTTGGCTTCATCACCTGTCGAGATTTTCTGATCTATGGCGCGAAACAAAAAGGGAAGGCACTATGACAAACCGTTTGACCCTCCAAGCACCACAGTTCACTTTTACCGTTTCTTAGGGGCATTTGGACTTGGAATATAAAAAATACATACATGAAATACATTGAAATACATACAATAAAACACCGATGTCTTGGAATACCAGGATGTCAGCGTGTCCGAGGTTGTCAGGAGATCCAAGTCATTTGAGCCAACCCCGTCTGAGAAACACACAGATCACATGGCTGGGCACACAATCCCCACATAGAGAAAACCGCATGCAATCTGTTCCATCAATTCATCTAACACCTGTGAATGTTTGTGACAGTTAAGGATCATGCCTGTAAAACGACCAGACTGTTATTATAGTATCTGCGCAGTGACAAGTACTGATCAAACATCTTCCAGTTGTCAGGATTAAATCTATATCAGCACCGATCAGTACCCCGTGATCACAATGAAGGGTTTGCTCAATTGTTGTCCCAATCCGATGGGTGAATCCTGTTTTTCTGGGCCAAATCCAAGTTGTTTATTGCAAAATTCAGTAAACAATCCACATTTTTGGGCAAATCTAAATTTTGCTACTTAATCCACATGCTTACTTTTTCTTAATGGTTTGAGCCACATTTGTGCTGGCTAAATTCCAATTTTGATGGATAAATCACACTTAATCATAACTCCGAATTGTTGCTGAAAAAATTCTTTGTTTTTCCTGGTTCAATCCCAATTCCCACAGGTTCACTCCAAATGGTTAAACCATTTTTGGCCTGTTTTGCTGGGTGAAGTTCCATCGCTAGTCCTGTTTCGATTTCTGAAATCCTAATTTTCATGGCAACATCGCCATTTCTGCTGCTTAAATCCAGCTGAAGTCATGGTGAAAATCAACCACTGGTGAAATCCCCTCGTCCACGGCCACGGGTCGGCACTCAATGACGGGTCGTGGTCGGCCCAGGTCACTGATGGCGGGTCACTGTGCAACTCCTGAGACCGATTCCAGTGGGCCTATCATTGGCATATAATGGGTATATAATGGGTATACCCTCTGGTAAACTAACGTAACTATGTAAAATCACCATTTTTAATGGGTAAATCCACTATAAATGGCCATTTTCAATAGCTATGTTAGTTTACCGGAGGGTAGAAGGCGATTGACAACTTTGAGAACTCAACAAAATTGGGGTCGAAATTTTAAATATCGATGGGCAGTTCATGGATATGTGGATCGGGTTCAGATCCCTGGTGGGAAAGGGGATAGCAGCGATCAGGGGTACACCTGGGTCGCGGTGGGGTCTGGTGAAAGTTGAATGAAACATGAACAAAACTTGTGCCATCTATCTATCTATCTATATATATATATATTGTTTTCTTTTAAAACCACATTAGAATTATCACTAATATGATTAATATGGTTCAAAAGGACGATATTTGAAACCAATCGCGACACTAGATATCATGTTATATCCATCTGTAGAGCCACGACGAATCCGACAATTGGTTAACAATGGTTAACAAAGCCCGTTCCACCTTGCAACCTGGTCCAGTTTGTCCACGAAACCGATATTTTATCTCGCACTGTTGGTGCATGTTAGCACTGTTATCATATTTTTGTTAAATAGGGGTTCTAGGCACTTATCACGTGGGATAATCTTGCCATGTGATTTAATTAGAAATGAAAGAACATGACAAATCATCATTGCAGCTAGCAATCCTTGATGGTCAATGCTAAGAGCATAAGTGGAAGTATCTTCAAAACGTGGCCGTCTACCACTTTCACTATTCAACTGTCCCAGTGCATTTTTCTCCGAAACTCCGAAACAAAAACACATGACATCACATCTTGGGATGCCCAAGCCACCTGCTTAATGCGATGTTCCAGAAAGGAGACTTCAAGCTCAAGGGACCTCACGTCCAAAGCCAAACATCAAGTGACTGGCCACATAAGTTACACTATATGGATGTATTAAGTGTCAAATCCTGCTTTATTGTCAATAGTTGGGGCACGTAACTCAAGAATGTCCCAGTGTTCATGGGCGAAGGCAAAACATTTTTGAAACCACTAGCTGCTTTCATTGTAACGTGTAGCAGCATCCATTGCTGATTTTTTCTTTTCCCAAATGCCAAGTTACCAACATCACTGGCAAATTTGAACCCGGAACCGGGCACCATGGTTCAACATCGAAAATCATAGAACATGATAGAAAATGATCAAATGGGCATTTTTTGGGGTTTCCATAGATGGGGTTACCCTGATAGCTGGATGGTTTATGATGGAAACTCCTATTAAAAATTGGTGATTTCGTAGGGGAAAACCCCATTTTGGGAAAACCCCCAGGTCGGTGAGGGCTTGACAATACATGTCCTGAACGCTTTGAGATCAACCTTCCCGTAAAAAGTCATGATACCAAACCGGTAGTAGGGAACTGTGAGGAAATGGGGTGGAACCGTGAGAAAAGGGGCTGAAACAGCGATTCAATGAGGCTAAAGATATCAAAAAAACACGAATATAGAGTAGGCTACTGTGGGTAAAACAATGCCATAAACCAGCCATGACTGGGAATGGTTTAGGTTTATACCACCTATAAATTTATAAACATGGTGATGACTGGAAAGGCCGCGCCACTGCAGCAGCTTGCTCCGGAAGGCCCCCAGCGCGCCGTCAATGGCCGCATCCATGGCGCTGGCTTCGAAGGGCCGATGGCACTTGGACCAGGATGGCACTTGGACGGCCAACGTTGGGAAAGCTGTGAAGCTTCAAAGTCTATGGACTTTTTGTATCAAAGTATGTCATCATGATGGAAATCTTATTGCACATATTTATGTGAATCTTCCAATCAGATAATTTTTACAGGATAAAGTGAAGCAATGATATCAATGTTATTGGAACATATTGGAAAAGGCTCTTTTCAAAGTAATTATCCCATATGCCCCATGGTGCTGGAATACTTAGCTTCAGGACTGGGTCATTTTGATGGTAAATGTTGCTATATATAAATATTCCATGCGTGGAGCATCTGGGTATCATCAGAAGTCATAACCCATGGTTACTAGTTTTTGGTTTGGTAAAATCTATGTAAACTCAACAATGAAGCTAATATCTGAAGGCTTATTGCAAAACAACAATCAAATCTTGAACTTTGGTATGGTTGATTGTGGGTCGACCGCATTTAGTGGTGAACTACCAGGTTCAACTACAACCATGCCACCCCAAATACACATTTTGGAATAATCTCAAGACTTTTGGCCTGCCTAAATTGATGGTTGAGAACATCTTTTTTTTCCCTCTCATACCAGCCCTTATGACTACTTTCAACATCAAGAGAAATTTGCGGATTTGCCAATAGCTGGTACATGGACGTACCTACACCCTCCAAGTACCCATCAAAATTGTATTTTACCATCTCTTACCCCATAATCGTACTACATTTTACCATGTTTTTTTGGGTGGTATTTGAAGAGTCCAAACGCTAGATGATTGTCATCATCGTACTACATTTAACCATTTTTGGGTCTAAGTGGTCTAAGTAGATGACTGGTTGGTGGTTTCAACCCCTCTGAAAAATATGAGTCAATGGGAAGGATTATCCCATATATCATGGAAAACAAAAGTCATGTTTGAAACCACCAACCAGATCACCATCATATTCCCATTTTTGTTGGTTTATAGCCTATTAACCACTATTAACCATCACTATTGGTTTCATCCCCCCAAAAATGTCTTCCAGGAGTGTCCCAAAAAACACCCGCCTCAGCGAGTGTCCATCCCTCCGGGCTTTGAAAGAGTTGCATCAGGGCATCAGTGGCTAACCTTACGGCCTGGTGCCAGGACGACCATCGATTCCATGGTACCCCCAAATGGTTGGTTGATCATGGAAATCCATGGAAATCCTATTTGTAGTGGATGATCTAGGAATCTAGAGGTACCCCTATTTAGGAAACCTCCACAGTAAATCGCGGTCAAAGCAAATTTGGAGCTACGCGGCTGAAGTAAACGAAGTAAACTCCAGACTTGGGTGCGCTGCCCATGTCAGTGTGATCACCCCCCCAATAGCAAAGGATTCTGTATACAATACTTACCCTCTGGTAAACTAACATAGCTATGGAAAACCACCATTTTTAATGGGAAAATCCACTATAAATGGCAATTTTCCATAGCTATGTTAAATTACCAGAGGGTATACTTAAAAACATGTCATTAAAATTGGTGCCCGATTCCTCAACTTCTCTCCATGTGAACATGCAATGCATACACTTGAGTACGCATATGTCATATATCCATATTATACATCAATATAAGTAATTCACATATCCATATGGCTATGGGTCAAAATTGGGTACCCTTTTTTTCATGGTACTGAACATTAAAAAACATTCCAATCTGTGGTATTTTGAATCTGAGATTTTGAACCCATAGAATGTCCCCCATTTTCCCAGGGCTTCCCAGGGCTTCCCAGGCCCCCAACGGCACCTGTTCGCCCTGCCGCGCGCAGGCGTACGCCAAGATGGCCTCGGCCGTGCGGCCCTCCGCCTGGCACTGCGCAGCGCGATCCTGGTCCAAGGCATCGGGGGATGGGGAGAGCCTTGGGTCATGGCATTTCCATGGGGTCTTTAAGAAGCGGTTTATATATATAATACATAAATATAAACAGAAATACATATATATATATAAGTTGTATATAAACAAAATATATATACTATATATATATATATATACACGTATATGTATGTATATGTATATATTTATATGTATCATTATATATCTATATACCCCTGGTGATTGTAAGTCCCGATTTGTGGGTCTTCGCATAAACAGACGTGTTATATAGTGTCGATCCGTGGGATGATCCTCCGGGCAGGGAACTGGCCATGGAGGTTTGCATGGGAAAACCATTGAACTGAGCAGAGGATTGTCCAGCAAACCATGTCTGAAGACCGGTGGGTAAGGAACACTGGGAACCAGGTATTTTTTGCAATCGCATGTGCAGGGTATTCCGGGACATCTTCCCCGTGGAAAAAAAAGGCAAAATCTACATCCCTCAATTCCGCCATGAAACCACATGGTGTTGGTGTCATGGTGTATTTACTTTTTACATCTTTTTACCCCATATCTTTACTACTTTTGACTGAGGGTCAAGGTATACAAACACACAATCCTCACATGGATCTGCAGTAATATAAATGTCTCAGTAGCAAATTAGCTGATGTTCAATCGTAATGGAGTACTAACTTACTAACCCTTTCGTCATCACCTGCTTGCTAACCGCCAAACCACAAGTGAGCAAAGACCAAGATCCTATAGATCTAGAGGGATTATTATCCCATATAAAAAGCCTTATGACTCATTTCTAAAATTGATGTGTAAGCAATGCTACAGCCCCTGGTCCATGAATACCCAAGCTTTCAGCCTCCATCCGCTAACGGGCATCATGAGGGATAGCTAGAATGATCGATGATTTCGTGGTCCCAATCATAAGAGCATAGTATAGAGTTATGCAACAAAGCATGCCCCAGAGGAGATGGTGGATATATATATATATATATATATAGATATATAATATACTATATTTCTAGCTGTAGCTCGATGGACTTGCGAACCAACATTGAACCGACATCCATCCCAAAAGTGAGCCGCTCGTCATTTCAACTCATAATCCCAAGTATGCTTGAACATAAATTTGGGGTTGGTCTAAAAATGCGGTACCTCTAAAATCCATGAGGGTTAATCATTTCCATATTTTTCCTATTCAATGGCAATGTATACACAATTTTCAGACATACCCATATATATATATAGATATCCAAATTAGAAACTTATAAAAACTTAATTATATACCTTATATAAACCATATATATATATATATAACTTATATAACTGACCCACCAAATTAGATCAAATTAGTAGTGTCACTGGGGAGCCTCTTCCAGGCCACTGATGGGCTGAACCTCGCTTCCCCCGTTGCTCGCGTTGCTCCTGTTGTTCCGGTCGCGAGATTGAGACGTAGTTGCGCAAAGACTCCTGAGTCCGCTGACTCCGCTGAGTCTGCAAAACGTGGGAAATGTAGGTCAACATTGAGGTTATAGTGAGACAATCGCCAAAAAATCGATGATTTTTCAATGATGGGAACATGACATTGACATGATCACCTCCATCGGGACTATAGATTTTGGTCAACTTCCTCAACTTTGGGGTACAGTTTGTGTTTTTTTCAAAATGTTGACCAATATCCAACGGAGCCATTTCCTAAAGCACTCAAAAGATATTCCAGCTTTAGAGGGGTGCCATTGGGTAGTGACCAATCTTCTTCGTCTGTATTCCCCAGGCTGTGATGCGAAAGAACTGTGGAAACCACCAGTGCCCCTGTCAACTTGGAAAACTCTGTTTTTTTTGGAAAACACAGCCTATCTCTCCAAGGTTGCATAAGAGTTTTGGTGTTTTTGGATGTTGTTTGACCCATGTCTTGGGAACTTGATGTTGTGAACTTATTTGGTAGGAGTTTGTAGGTAGTTATTTTTGAGTTTGAGCTGAAGACGTTTTATTTGGAGAAGCTGGAGATCTGCTTTGGAAGCTTGAGAACTCTTTTGAAGTAGTTTGAGAAGTTTGAGAACGTTTGAGTGTCACTGCGTTTTACTCTGCACGACTCTTCTAAGAAGAAGAGTGAGCTGTCAAACCAGTGTGGTTTGGCTCAAGTCCGAGCTGTGAGAGTATCTACCACTTAAATGGCTGAAATGTTTGAAGTTTCAAGTAATCAACTTATCACTGGATGGATCTGGATGGCACATCTCAAATCCCCGTGGGCAAATGCTCAAGCATCGCCAAGCAGCAGGATAGCCATGTCTGGCTGCCAGCAAGGGGATGTGTATGTCCGGACCCTGAGCATGGCTGGGTACAAAGACTACTGGTTGCTTTTCCAGCATTGGATGAATAGAACATTTACTGAGTTTCCCCCTGTATTTAAGGTAAACACAATGGTTTCCAGTTGAGAGGCTCCTTTTAACCAGCCCAATGATGGTTCTTTTTCCTTTGACCAAACCGGTATGAGGAAAAAAAAGGATGGGACTTGCAAACAAGAGCGGAGATCTTGCCACTCACAACGGGGGTAGGGTAGTATCTTGTGCACGTATATTGCCGCGTTCACCAATCAACCTGCCATGGAGGTACCCAGGTTACCCAGGTTCAACTCGAAGCCGGCGCAACATCGTGGCAAGAAGAACTTGCAAAGAACACGGTGGTCTTCCCTTCATGTAAACAAATTTACACTTGATTGATAATCGTGGATAATGATGGTAGATGATGGTAGATAATGGTGGATAATGCTAAATCATGGTCATCTCTTGATTAAATTGAGTTTTGGTTGACTTTGTCAACCATGATCTACCTATATAAGGGATCCTAACATGATCCATATGTGATATGTAAATCCACCAATAAACTTGAGGGTAACACCCTCACGACTAGATGTCCCAGTTGGATCCTTTGGTATCTGATCAACAATCATTCTTGGAAACCATACTTAGAAACATTTGGAAACCCGCTCCGGAAGTCGCCTGTGGGTGCTGCAACAGATATTCCGCCGCCACGTCGTAGAGCTCGTCATGCTCTGCGCTCATGGCGAGGAATTTCAAGAGCAACGGGTCCTGCCCGAGGTCTTAGCTTCAAAGTCGACCCTGGGGACCCTCTTGATTTACATTAAAGCAATGGTCACTTTACAGTCGATCTAACTGTTTACACTCCGCGAAGTTCTCTTTGTAAATTGAAGGTATGATCTTGGAAAGGCAAGAACATAGATGGTTTTGATTGAATATGTCACTCATAGTGCCAGTATGTGCTAGTGGATTCCACCAAATGCTGCGCATCCTAGGATTTTGTTGGTAGGCTCCTTCGGCAGTTCAAGCAGATCAGCCAGGACGTAGGCTAAGACCACCTATCCATCAGGGAGCGCCAAAGCGCCAACCAAATACCAAAGTCAATAAGTAGAACAACATCTTTCCATGGAATTTCCATCTTCTCCATATTTCTTCATATTTCTTCCATTATGTTTCCCTTTTTCGCATTTTTTTGCCAGAGCTTTGCATAGCTTTGGTGCTTTATCCTGGGGTGCTGAATGTATCTACAGGGACAGTGACCTGAACTATGAGCCACAACTAGGGCTATGGGGGGCTACCAGCGGCTACCCAGAACCCCCCCCTTGGTGCGCACTGAAAGATATGCTTGTCTTTGTCAACAAACAAAGGCAAAGCCCAAAGCATTGTTGGATGGTAGAGAATTGTGGACATCCAAAAGATTGATGGTGATAGTGATACTGGTTAAGACCATGCTTTTATCTGATAGCTATATAATCACATCAAAAACATGGGTAGAACATGGCAGAACATGGTAGAACAGTTTTCCGCTGCTTGTGGAATGTACGCTGAATCCTTTGATCTTCATGCGAAGCGTCACTTTAAAAAGGCTATTTCATGAGAGGTTCCATCTTTAAAAAGTTCGCCATTTTGTAGAGTTCCTTCAGAACTCCAAACGACTATATGTTTTGCAAAGTTTGGGTGTTGAATGTTGCTAATCTATTCCCACGCTTTCTCGCTGACATCATGGTATGTGGCCGTGGGTCCGGATTTCACGCACTTCGGCACCTCTGCGACCCACAGCATTGAATTCATCATTTCTATAGGTTGCAAACTGTCCAACCTTTTGTGTTGAACCTATTTGAACATCATGCCTTTCGCTGCATACATTGATTATATAAATATACATGTTCTTTTGCTTGATTGATCCCTCCTGTAGGCAAGTTGCGCATATCCGTCCTTTCGCCCTGGTGCCCTGTAGTTCAACTATATCTACCATACACATCCATAGACCCTAGTTGTTGGAGCTATAAACCAAATTGGTTCCGGTTATAAATGGTTTGTAACCATATAGTTTTAGGGCATATTTCCCAATTTTTTGGGGATCCAATCCCATGGTTATACCCAAGAAAGACAACCCCAACTACACCCATGAGTAGGTCATAGTCCATTGTATCCCAATTAAATCCCATTAACGCCCAATAAATAGTTCATGAAAATTCTAGTTATATATATATATATATATGCCCGTCAAATCCCATGAAAACAAACAGTTGTATTGGCCCAGAAAAAGAGAGTGTCTTGTCAAGACCTGGATAATTTTTCGACACCCAGCCTCGTGGGCGCGAGACAGAAAACTTAGGGCCCGAGTAGACTTGGACACAGCCAGGTGACACATCGCGGCCTAAGGGACTTCCGGGACAGGGAGCTAAGCTAGCGACCTCTATTCATCATACCTGCGATAATTATATGATGCATTATATGAGTATATATGTATATATATATATTTACACATTACTGTATGTATGTGTATATATATATATATTTGTATATGTATATGTATATGTACATGTACATGTACATTATAAGTATGTATATTATGCAGTTGTATTTATTGTAGAACAGTATACTTATGGGGGAAGACGAATACAAGAAGGGATGTTGAATGTTGAATGAAACACTTTTCCCTCATAGGCACCGACATGATATATACATCATGCAGCAGGACAAAAAAATGCGGGCACGGACAACTCGGACAATGCAGGATTTTCCGAGGAAAACATCAACCATAAACTAACCACTTAATCTCCTGGTCGACAGCTTGACCCAGTCCCCCAGGCGCGGCATCATTCGCCCATGACTGGCGTCCCATTTTCTCGCCGTCGCGACACGACCTTTGTGACGCGGCCGCTGTTTGGTTCAGCTGGTGGCCTCAGGCTCCGGGAAAGTTAGGGCACAGGACACAAGTGAAGCACCCGTGTGTCTTTTTGATCAAAACTTGGAGTCACTAAAACATACTAAAACACTACAATATTCTCCAATTCAATTCATGCAGTTATTGCCCTTTACCAGTTATAAGTACTTATAACCTCATTTATAGAATGTATAATAATCCCATAGAAATAATCAGTTATAACTAACACTAACACTTCCTTGGTTCGAACTTCACCAAATTCCCCCATGACAAAATGCACACTGTCTATCGGCTGCTGAGAGGCTCAGCCTGAGATAAACTCAGCACAGCTTCAGGTATGGCCTGCCAGTCCATGGAGCCGACATGCTTACAGTGTTTACTTTGCCGACATTCACGGTGTTGTTGGGGTGAACGCAATGAATGCAAAAGGGAATACATACATTATAGTTATTATAATACTATTATAAGTATAGTAAATATATGTAAATATAGTCATGGATGAACTGTGTCCTAAAGATCATGTGTTTGATGGTCTCTTTGCACCCCACACACAGGAGTCACTTGGGGTCAGTCCTGCTGAATCGCTATGGAATGAACATAACATCCACCAACCAAATTGTTCATGAGACATTGTTTTCCCATCGTCTTGCACATATGAACACAATAGATTGCAGTTGAGGCCACTGCTCTTGCTGACCCTCCCGCCCCCAAAAAAGCGCTGGAGCAATTAGAACACACAAGGATCATCATACAACGCAGGTAAATGATCTCTCACATGTTGCAATCCAACACAGCCATGGAACATCATTTCGAAAAGCGTCCATATCATATATCTATACAGGCATGTCTGAACACATGGTACCGCGAAAACCCAGTTGGTAATCATCATTTTCCCTGTTAACATTGCCATTTGGATATATATATATACATCATCCTTAGACACATCCATGTCTAGGCATGTTGACTTTCTATTGCAATGTTGCCAGAGGCTGTCACTTTCAGCCATCCCAAACAAGATGAGCAACACTTCGGTTCCCGTCGCCTGTCCAGCACTTTGGAAGGACTGCACCAGCAGCCGTGCGGTCGTCACATCCTGGCTCGGCGCCTTTGGGCACCAAAGGTGTCAATGGGAAAACCCATGGGAAAACCCTCACTGCTAGGGGTGATAGGCCAATATCAATGACATCTGGATTGTTTTCCATCAAGCAATTCTGTTAGATGTAATGTTCTTGTAGATTCTGTATGTGCGTGTGTATCTATATACCCAGCAAGTATGGTTTGTACGTGTTAAGCTATTACGACTTTGAGACCCGCGAGTTTTCATCGTTGACTCTCCAGAAATCTTGGTTGAGCCTCTGTGATGGATGGTAAATAGCTGCCCATCCAAGGTGCAACCGAAGCTTTTTCCATGATTGACTCCTCGTATTTGTTTAAAACCTGGTTCTTTTAATGGATCCTCATCCATTCAAGGTCTACCCATATCGTTTCATGGTTGAGTAGACTGACCTTTTATAGTTGTTGATTGACCACCGATCACCTTTTAGTTTGACAATTCTCCATTTGATGCCATTCCCCAACTTGAGCCACGGAACATATTCTCATCCCATTCCATGAGGCCGGTTGGTAAACCAGGCAGCTGGTATAAGTCCACTGTCTCACAAGCAATCTTCATTTATCCATTGTATCAACATTTCGCGTGGTTGAAATTCCTTTGACGTGAAGGTATTCACCAGGTATTCTTCATTCTTGGACGAAACCAAATTACTATGACTATAGTAGCTGGAGTTGTTCATGCTTTCGTGAATCCATATTTGATGCTATCATCTCCAATAAGCAAACACCTCCCCGAGGGCTTTCTGATGGTTAAAAAACCCTAGCTACGAATGATTGCAAAATCTGATTAAAACCGTCAAACCCACTATCGTAAACAAAACCAACATGGATAGGCCTGTTGGGATTAAGTAACCACAGTATCCAAACCGGGTAGTATTGCGAATATATATATATATATATAATTAGATATACAATCCAATTGGACCCTAGTTTATAAGCCAATAGGGATAGTATCGTATTCCATTCATAAACCTATCTTTTCAGGATAAGGTCAACCCCGGATAAATGCCAGATAAATAAACCTTACTGAAATCCTGGCTGATAGAGGATCCGGAAGTTCCAACCCCGGCCCAGGGTTTAAGAGATTTGATCCATACTTTTCCCATTTTATCCCCATTACCATCTCGTAATTTAACACAGCCATTGAAAGTTACCCTTGTGAATAGGTAAATCCTCTATACATCGACAATGTTCCATCAATTTTCCAAAGCTATCGAAACTATGTTCAGTTCCCCTCTGGTAAACATTTACATAGCTAGTGAAAATGGCAATTTATAGTTGATTTACCCATTAACACCATGGTGATTTTCCATAGTTATGTTAGTTTACCAGAGGGTACCAAAGGGTACAGTATATAATCAATGGCCATTTCAGGAACCTAAATTGGAGGTACCTACCATATATAAGGCCTATATAAGGCCTATGTAAGGGAATATCCCTAGAAAATATGCCCTTATATGGTACAGTACCTCCATTTTAGGAGCCTGAAATTCCCATTGGTATAATGTGGTAAACCCAAAATCCACATCTTTACGGCTGGATAAAAAACACCCAGTCATGGAGGCCTTGTTTATGGCTTTCGCGGCTTTCCGACATTAAAGTATGATCAATCACCAATAGTAATTCTAGGATTATCACATTGTGATAATATGAATTAGAAGATTATTAATCACTATGATAGTTGTAATTACCAGAATACTAAAGAATTACCATTACTCATTATAAACCATCCATACCATGCCACTGCACACCTCGGACTGCAGCAGGCTGTAGGCCTCGCCCTTCTTCCCTGCCCGCCCGGTGCGACCAATGCGATGCACGTGAGCATCCAAGGACACCTGGAGCGGCGCCGCAGGGCGACATGTGGGAAAATCATCATGGCTACCTGGTACTGTCATAGGAATATCGTGGGAAAATCCATGGCAAATAACATGGGAAAAAATGGGAATATAAATGGATGGATATGGATACATGATACATACATATATATATATATAGACAATTATATACATGATATGAGGTTAAATCACACAACCGACAAGGGAAAATCCGTAACAATGTGGTGGGTTACTTCACCAACAAAGATCATTTTAAGGGGATGGAACCGCATATGTCTCTTTGTTTGTTTGTGTGTATGTAAAAAATATACATACAAATACACATGTATACGTTTATATAACTATATATAATTATGTATATATAACTATTTACAACTATGTATATATATATATAGTTATATTTACAATTACATATATGTATATACAATTATACATACCGTAGATAGATATACAATCAGTATATCCAATGGCCAGTTTGCTAGTGTCGTCTCCTGGTATCCATTGGTTGAGACTTTTCGCCTCGCTTTGGTGCACCTTCTAGGCCCTGTAGCCTTCAGATGCCTTAAGCCCATGTAGCTGGGATTAAACAACACCCCAGAATGATAACACCCTATCTTTTCATATCTGGAATAGATTATTATTCTGGGTAATAGTATTATCATGATGGTATGGTAAATATCCCATCATAGATCTTATGATCTTTGTTTTTTCCTATCTTTTCATAGCTTTTCCTCCAGCCAGGGCACGGCAGGCTCGTAGCTCACGACCACGGAAACACGTTTCAAATCCAGTCCACGTGCAGCGACATCAGTGGCCACCAGCACGTTCCTGAGACGGCAGAGCCGTCCTTTTTTTGGCGAAGTATAAACATGTTTGGTTGAAAAATGACTCCATGAAATCCATGTAAACTTATGGAGTAGTAAACAATAGCCTTTTTAGGTGCTCAACATTGCCTAAATATCTGATACTGTACCTATCAGCCTATCAGCGCATACTTTGGGGCCTTGGGGCCAAACCATTTGGTGGGAAGACTGTACGTAAGCCACCCAAAAAGCTTATCCCCGATAGCAGAAACCTCAAATGTCAGCTGGTGGTTAAACATTGTTAAACCCAAGACAGACCCAAGACCCCAAATACTCATCAATTGGGACCACTCTTTGAAATGTAAAGCGAACAAACATAGAAAGCAACCAAGAACACATAAAGCTAACAAGCATTCATGGCTGGAGAAAACACATATTTTACACCAACATTCATCAGAACTGGCGTGAAAATTTGCTAACACAAGTTTCAATGGTGTTGGCATGGTCACTGTGACCTTTCACACTTGAGCGCATGAATTTTGTGTTCATGTTTCGCCCTTGAAAGCAGAATCAAGGACCAAAAACCAAAACGTCCCTTAATTATCTCGTCTTTTAATCAACCCCAATTTTCGCCGGTGAAGACCTGTCCCAAGATATAGGCATGACTTGCTGAATCCCCATCATCCCAATCATCATCATCATCATCATCATCATCATCATCTGCGGAATTTAACAGCCCCAGGGGATAAACAGTAGGTTGTCAACCAGATACCTTTCAAGATCTTAAAATGTGAGTTCTTATGATGTCACTCCCAGTGAAATCTCTGTTCTGATCTTTTCCATAATCGCGGTGTGGCCCTTGAGCCAGATTCCGGGATGGAATTCATTATTCCATGGACAGCACATCCAGCCTTTGGCAGGATGAAAAACTGTTTTCTTTGCATCAGTTTGGGTTAGATCCAAGTCCTTCAGTTCTGTTCTCTCACAGCCTACTCACTTGGAAATTCTTGTCGACCCAAACGTTGACCTAATTAGCACCTTCTATGGTGCAAAAGTTGGTGTCAAGCAATTTCTTCTGTGTCACATGCAAAACAATGAGTGAACAGCAGTGAACGAAATTTGCAAATCAGTCCAAATTTAAAGTGGATCTAAGTGACAAATTCTGAAACTATGTCTCACTGTTCTTGGCTGAGATGGTCATTCGCTCAGACACTTGGCTTGTCTACTTTCCTGCTATCACTACGTTTCCACCACTTCTCAAGTGGCTCTTTCTGCAGTTCAGAACATTCAAGCAAACATTTGGTTCCACCAAATGTGAAGATTGCACAAAACCAAAAAAAACGGAGAAATATGTGCAACTGATTATGGCTTCGCAAATTAAATCCGAGATCACAACTGCGAGACTCTCTGAACTGAGTGCACGGGCACAATCCAAATAAATCGCACTGCGCTAAGCACTATAGGTCAATGCTCGGATGCTTGTAGTTACATGTGGTTGCCGATGGCTTCTGAAGACAAGCAAATGGCATAAAGTCTAGAGTGTTGGAATCGGTTTCTCTCACATTTTCCACAACTGTTCTCAGTTGTGAGCAGCTTTCCCATCTGAAAATATTTCTGACTGTCGCAGTGGAGCACGCACTCCCAAGAAATTTAGTTCAAGCTCTCGTGACATCTGCTGCACTAAGTTTATGTCTACCGACGGATGCATCAAAGATGCACAGACATTATCAAACTAAATCTCTATGGAATGAGATCCTCACTCTTTGCACTGCACCTTTGGATTCACAATTCCGGCAGGAATTGTGCAAAACTTGGCTTATCACTGTCCAAAAATCAATACTCTTTCTCAGGAGAAAATTTCGTGTGTTCTGCACCAAAAATCAACTGTGCTTTGGCGTTTTTGATCAAGAAAATCATTTCAATTGGTGTTGAGCACCAAACGGCATATGCTTCATGAATTTAAGCCTAAGCGGCTGAGATTTTGGATCTGAAGCGCTGACACGATTGTTAACATGCACCTCTGTCCCAGATGGTGCATTATATTCACACCCCCTTTCGTGTCATGGCGGAGGATCTGCACACAAGGGAAAATTCGATGTACTGAAGTGCAAATGATTGCAAGTGTCAAAAGGCTGGAAGTCACATGGGATTGCATGAGTCTTAAAAGATCTGCAATGATGAGACTAAAGGAAAAATTGACATCTTTTGCCTTCGCTCGCCACTGCTTCTCAAATCTTCTCATATCCAACATGTCCCATGGCTATATAATTCAAAGGTTGGAATACTTTGCTGAAAACCTGTCACCTCATATAAACCCGAAGCTCACTAAGTTTCAGGCTGCCGAGATAGGAAATTCAGCCAATCTCTTTCGTGAAAATCGAAAATCCTCAGGTTGTTTCGGGTCCCACATCAGATAGGCGTTGTCTGGCCCATGCGGTCGGAAATCATAAAGCTCTTTCTCGAAAATGCTTTTCACAGAGGCGATGAGGCACCCACACAATTTCCAGGGATACCTTTCAGTGTTTGTCCAGTTGATCTCATTAAAATGCTTATGACGTCCATCATCGCAAGAGCAAACTGAAAAGCATGCCAAGGACTGCACAATCAAAGGATGGTTGCTGACAAATTGAAGAATCTTGCTGATGATCGGTTCTGCGTCAAGTTGACGATATTGGACAAACTGGCTATAAAGAGGTTGTTTACTACATTTCAACAGCTCCTGCAACTCAGTTCTGGTCCAGTATTGATTTCGCTTGGGAAGTTCAAATGACCGAAGGAGGACATGCGGTATCAGTTCAAAACAAAATCCAATCAACCTCAGAAATTCCTGCATGCTTTCTGCCTTCAAATCCTCATTCTTTGATAGGCGTTGGAGGCTACTACCTCCAGTGCAAGGCAACGAAATATGCATGTATGATGGTTTCATCGCTTTCTTGAAATCCTGTAAGCATATCTTAATATCTTTCCAATATTCTTCCAGGTGTGAAGGTTCAGTACAACAGACAATGAGGGTCCCACGCTTCAAGTCTTTGAATGCTGTTTTGGTCAGATGTGAGCTACTCTCACAGCCAGTTTCCAGCACTAAATACGCAAAATCATGGCAAGAAACATTTGAAATCTCACACGCTTCAATGAGGACACACTCCTTGGAAAAATATGAAAAGACTACAGCAGGCATGAGGATTCTGTCGCGTTCCTTTGCGACATCTTGCTCGGTGGACGAAACTGCTTGCTGTTGAATTTTGTTCTCCCCCTTTGGCTTCTTGGCTGATTGGGCTTTGGACGAAATCTTCTCAGGCATTACTTCAGACATTTCTGGGGCCTCGTGGAATCCCATGGCCACAAGATGTTTCATAAACAGTCGCAGTCCTAGAGTTTTGGTAAAGAGATCAGCTATTTGTTCTTCGCCTTCAACCCAAGTCAATACGATATATCGCTTCTTTACAAGGTCCTGGCAAAAACAAATTCGCAATTCCACGTGGCGAGATCTCCGCTGCAGTCCTGAAGCCGACAAAACTCTGATAGCTGCTTGTGAATCACATCTGCACTCAATCTCGACCTTTGGCCTCTCTTCCGTGATATGTTCAGTCGCAAACAAAAAATTGATTAGTCGATGGATAGCTTCGGCATGTTGAACTCCTTCATGGAGAGATGTGATCTGCGAATGGGTGTCAAAGAAGAAATGCTGTGAAATTCTACTTAGTCCAATTGCTTCCTGCATGCAGTCAGCAAGTGCCGACAATTCAGCTTCACAACTGCTGGTAGCTACGATCTGTTGAATTCGAGAGAATCCCTTTACCACCGATCCTCGATAGAAAGTCACACATCCACTTATGGATCTCCTGCGCAGCATTCGGAGAGGTGCCCAAGAAGCATCGCAATACATGATGAGTTTGTGAGAATCAGTGTCGAATGGCTTTGCTTCTGGTGATGGAAAACATTGCTGCATGCTCTTTAAACTACGAAGCCACCTCAACACAGCTCGCATAGCATGCTCATGTGCATCGGTCGGCTCGGCCATACCTGTGGCCAACAAGGCGGAATAAATGCACAGAAATACCATGGTTTGGCTCATCCAACTGAGTTTCCCGAGTGCAGCTCGGTATTTCAAAGCAGCTTCTTGCGAAATTGGATCTGCTTTACTCTCGTTATCGAGGATTGGTCTCAGATCTGGTGGTGGCCTGCTGGCTGCATTAGAAATCTGATACGATTCAAATACACTATCCAAATACGTATCATCCAACTTCACTGTGAGGGTCCGACTGCTTGGCTTTCTCTCAATGGTGCGTCCCAGGAATCGAAGGCTCCCACCTCCATGTTCCGAACTGTTGATTTCACCAGTTTGCTTTATTCTAAGATGATTGGCGAGATGATTGAACACAATCATCGCTTCTTCCTTGGAACTGGCAAAGACTAATAAGTCATCAACATAGGCAATAATTTGAACCAATTTGTTTGTTTTGCCTTTTCCTACCTTTAAATACCCAGCAAAAACCGTGGGCTCAATAGGGCTTGGGTGTAAACCTAGTTCTTGGACCAAATGTGAGAGGTGTTCAACCCAGGCAAGACCAGATGTTCTCAGGCCATTGATGGCCTTTTCAGCAATCAAGCAGATCGGGCTACCGTCCATCAGGGTCATGGAAAAAGGAGGAAACTTCAGTAAAACTTTTATTGGCTTTCCAAGCTTCATTCCAAGGGGTGATGCCATAAACGCAGCACTCACGTCTATACCCATTACATATAAATCATCTGCTCCGGCGGTTGCAAGCATGATTCTAAGTGATTCGATGGAACTGGTTGGGGAACTGACCATTAAGTCTCTGGCGGATGCCTGACCTTTAGCCACTTCTCGGGCTACCAGCCTCATTCGCACATTTGTGTCGTCCTTCTGAACACACACCCAACGACAACTGATAATTGGAATTCCCCATTTCTTGGCAAGAACTTTGGCTTCTGACTCTGGAATTGGCTTCCCAACGTGTTGCGAAGTCATCGAGGTGACTTCAGTAAACATACCTTTGAAAGCAAGTTCGTTGTCAAGATACTGGCCAGTTGCATCAGAAATCACATATCCAGGGAAAACTACATAGATGGGTGTTCCGCACAGATCTGCTTTCTCAAGGCGTGGTTTACTACCTTTCACCTGATAAACACTCTGCATGAAACCCACGTGTCTGTTCTCGATGCTTTCCAATTCATACTCATCAAAACGAGTCACCTGATCAACAAGCATGGCGTCATCTTGATTCCCATTGGATGCCTCTGCAAAATCTACCAAATCAATTTCAACATCATCCTGATCTGCTACCATGTCAACATCAGGCTGGAAATCAACATGACTATTCTCAGCTCCTGGCACATCGTCCTTTCCCAAGATGGAAGGAGAGTACTCACCCCCTTCCGGCTCTGCCCCATCCGCCAACTGGGCTGTGGGATCTTGCAGAAAGGCTGGTCCGGGCTGTTTACCCCGCAAACGGGGATACCGAGAAATTGAAGACTCTTG